CCGACGAACATAAATCACCCCCCCTTTCGCCGATCTAACCCACCAACCACCTCGTGTTACAGATGGTAGACGCGCTTCAACTGCCGAAAATAGGATGTTGAACACTTGGAGAAGCACCTTCAAGCCAGCCTACTAACAAAATTACTAACCCACGAGGATCCGCTGCGATACGGACATCTGAGATGACATATATTGCAAGGCTTTATGTATGGGCTCTGAGGAGACACAGCACTGTATATATTATGACATGTATAGTAGATCAGAGATAGTTGCCCTTTCGGCTCAGCCGCCGGGCGTTAATAAATTGTGTGTGTGTGTGTGTAATGAATTCAAGAAGAAAAAGAAAACGGGAAAAAGAAAACAATCAAGTCAAAACACAGATGCCAAGAGCGTTCCTGCGAGCCACCAAACCCTTCTAACACCCATGCCGACCCTAGGAGTGAGTGATGGGCTTATGAGAAGAGGTGACCTGTATATGAGAAACTTCTAGGAGCTCAGCTAGAATAGTCGCTTTCTCTCTACTCGACGTTTCGAGTCTGAACACGAGCTTTGCCCTAACAAGCCAATATTTTCCGCTCATTCGCTTCAGCATGGAGGAAACTGAATGATTGGTGGAACTATCAGATTCGCCCGCGTGTATCTTAAAGTTTGTCGGATCCACTACGGAGTATATCCAGATAAAGCCGTTGGAGTACTCGAAAGAAGCGGCGTTCGCGTTCCATTTCGATATCAGTGTGTTGAATAATGGCCCGAAGATTGTGACTGGAAGGCCAACACAGACATATGCTGTCTCATCGAGGCTCTCTGGACGCATAGCCTTGAGTATCAATTGGGCCTCCTCGATCGACTTTGAATCAATTACAACTGAGTTCGATACCCAGAAATCAGTTGACCAGCTATTGAAAATAGGAGGGACTTTCTCCAACACGGAATGCTGGAGGCGAATAAGGCTTCCCCTGAGACTTTTTGTTTGGTTCGCCTTTTTCGCACCGAGAAGGATAATCTTCAGGTTCGCTGAATGTGCTGCCTCCAGAATTCCGATCTGATAGTCGTGCGGTTCCAGGTTCGTGAGCTATACTTGAGGGAAGACATGAACGATGCCATTCTCGATAGATACGAATTCGCCTCGGCTATCAGCTTTGTTTGGTGGGTGACCTTATGGAATCATGGTGGAAGAGAGTGTGATGTTGATACTCTGGCCACAGAGCTTTGACTATTCCCACTTCCAAACGAGCTCCTCGGTCTTTGAATATATGAAAGGGGTTTTGGTGACCGCGATTTTCGAGGAGCGATCAACATGCTTCCTGCTGCCTTCAGCGTCCTTGCAAATGGTCATTGGAAGTCAAAGTACGTGCCCATTCGCACGCCGCCAGTGCGAGAAAAACGGACGTTCGAGTACTTGTAACATCAAGTGCAGTATCAAACAATCCTTCTCCTTGGGATGGGCTTCTGGTAGCAATCCGCGGATACTAGGTTTTGTCGACGTGAATGTGCAGAATCAGCACTAGTGTGGTCGACTTTCGGCGATGAGATCAGGGCATGAAGCTATATCGGAGGCTCAAATGTGTTTCTATCCCTCTGGGATAAAAGAAAACGCAATCTACAAGCGAGGTCGATTACTCTTTTATAACATGTGTCACTAGAGCCCAGAGGGTTTGCATTGTCAAACTTGACATCCTGGTGACAGTAAAAAGCCGCAAATGTTCATAGACTGCTTGATATCACGTTGTCATCATCGGTCAACGTTTCTTACTCAACGTTGAGTATGAGCCATTGAACACAGTTCTTTCACCTAGCTAGAGACAAAAAAGTCAAAGTAATTGATCATCCGACGTACACACATAGGAACTATTTGACTTTTAAGAAGCTTAGGAGAAGAAGATCAATTTGCCATAAGATTTTTTGTTGAAATCCCAGTCAACTTATTTGAATCTTTACTCTGGTCTTTAAAGGGGTCAATTTCCGACTATGGCTGGGCCAGAAAGGCACAAAGCTGGACTGCTTCAGTGAGATGCTTCCAGGTTCAGCTTGTGGTTGGATCTCAGAGTATTTATTGTTGTCATATGAGGCTGTTGCAGATCAAGAAGCTTCCAGTTCTTTCTGCGTGGAAGAAATACATGATGCCAGTAGATGCCTTCACTATGTATATATATAGCCTCGTGTCTCCCTCTAAGAGAACAATCAATCAATACCTCTGAACTACAACATTTATAGCTTTCTTGCGGATAAAAGTGGCTGGTTTGAGCGGACACAAGATATAGATGCTGGGCACTAGCCTACCCTTCGCTACGGGGCAAAATCAGACACATGCAATTAGCAAGAAAAAAGCTACCTAGACGTGATACACAAAGCCTATCGATTGAGATACGTATTATCTCAAGCGTATGTCGACAGGGCCAAATATGGTTGGGAGAAAAAGTAGGATCACGAGGCCTTTTGGTAAAGAGCGATGACATTGCTTCGCATGCGTCAATATAGGGACAGCTTACTAGCTGGCAAATGGAGATATACACAGCCTCAGTACTAAATACAAATCAAGTCTCCCCGGCCATGCCACTCACATGTGGTTTTTCCTGCTCCCACGACCGCCATAGGACCAAATACTGTACAACAGAACTATCATTCTGGTGGATAACGCGTTTGGCAATTGCGCTTATCGGTATTTTCTGGCCAATCTGGGCATGTCAGCTTATTCATTAGAAACGATTTCTCCATGCAACTTACAAGATCAAAAGACTCATTGTCATACACGTGGGGGCAGTGCTGGCTGTAGTCGGAAGACCCAGAGGATCTGTTCGAATAGGGTGATTGATCTCCATCCGACACCACGAATGCGCGGTCTTCACTTGTTTCCGAGATATCATCCTCCGAGGGCTCAGAGGTTGAACCTTACGTTTCAGAGTCATTGGGCTCGCTGTACGAGGACATGATTTCGAAAAGCTCATTTTCCTCCTTCGCAGCCATCTTAGGTAGGGTATAGTGCCAGACGTTCTCACAGCAGATGTAAAAAAGCTGAATTTTCCTCTTCAATCCTGGTACGGCGCTCACTTATGTAGCTCAAGTGTCTATTCGATTACGCCTTGACCATGTCTAACTAATGTTTGAACGACTGAGGCATGTTCAAAGGGCCGGTGAAAGCCTCGATGATATACGAGAGAATTTTTGCCAGTGCTTATAGCTCAAATTTACTAGGACGTTGATTCAACTTAATCCCTAGTGAACACGTCTGTTGACCCAATTAGGCGTTGGAAATCGTTGACGTCATCGATTTTCACCGCTCAAGATATCCCTACGTATCGCGCAGGCTTCATTTATAACCGGACGATCTTAAAGGTAGTGAAATATCAACAATCCGATAGAATCATCAACGGGGATACGGTGAGACATTTTGCAACGTTTGCCCACGTTGAGACTGAAGAAGCCGCTGGTGGTTCAATTTGCGGGCTATCTACATTCTTGAGGACTTGTAAATTTACCATCTCAAATCCACCATCGATGGTTCCTCAATCTGGCCACGAATGCATCAACCTCAACAATCAGGGCAAAGGAGCGAACGGATTAGTCAGTAGACCAAGATATATAATGTTTAACGCGATGACTGATTCCTGGGACGCATTGATCACTTTACCATAAAAACCTAGCACCAGTCTCGCTTGCTTTGCCTATGATTCTATTTATTCTGGCGGCTCTCCTTGCCAGTATTACACCCCTTCAGCGCGATGTGTTCAATTGGCGCCTCACCTTCGTCGTCAGCCCCAATGTCGCGGTCTTCGGTATGTCATCACCTGGAGCCAGTTAACCTAATTTACGACTTAAAGCCATTCACTGGCCCCTCGAGCATCGTAACGCTGGAAAACCGGCCCAGAAGTCCCCCGGCAAGACTCACGAGTTGTCTGATGCAGGGCGTCGCCTGGAGGCTGAAAATGTCTGGCGCTGGCCCGGGTGTACCATGACTGATGGAGAGGCAATCCTAGTGCCATGTTGTACTCGCGCCTGGTTGCGGACGGCTGCTTCATACCACTGCTGGCCAACCTCATCGGCCTATCGTTGCCTATGCCACCTTGCACAGAGGAGTTCTTTGGCAATAGCATAGAGCTTCGGTTGCAAAGTTGACGAGTCAAACGGCTCTCTGGCGAGTGTTCAGCTTCTGATGGCCTATCTTGGTGTCTTCAACTTTGATCAAGTTTTCGCACGGAGCGCCTTTTTTCCTCATCCGGCAACAGGAGCCAGGACCACTGTGAGGGATCCCGCAGGCAACAAATGTGTTCCAAAGTAGTATGGTAGACATTGAACTGATGACAAAAGGCAGAAAATGATTCGAATGGGTATTGATGTTGCGCAATCTCCGCAGCGTTTCCTCGTCAGCTTTATATGCCATCATCATGGGATCTGTACTTACATCACGTCATGGCTGCTGACGTGGAACTTCTCCCTTGAAAAAATCGAAACGTCGAAGAATGCACTGTGATTCAGTATGTAATCAACAGGGAAAATGTCAGCTTTGGCAAAATTGCATATCGCGATGAACCTCGGCCCAGAACAACTCGAGTGCGTTTCTGATATTTCTAAGGCACCAACAAATCAATGGACTCCAAGTTGACAGTACCGATGTCTGAATACACACCACCCTTGACTGATAAAATCAGGTATCTCAGCAGGTCCGACTTCATTCCGGTGAGCTTGAGCTCTTTAAATTTTTTAAAAAAATTAGATTTCCCTGAAGGTGCAGGCTCACGAGTGCTTCTGCTCCTATATCTCCAACCAAGGTGTATTCGTAGTCGCGGTTATAAGCCAGCCAAGAGACGATATCAGATGCCTGATTAAAATCGACTTCAAAATTGTTTGTGTTGACATTGGGCGGGCTGAGATATAACTACGTACCTGAAATACAAGTATGAGGGTTAATGGTAGAGATATGGCCAAGATTCAAAGTTGTGTTATTGTATTGTTTCTGCAACACAGACTCCTCGTCTAGGTCGTGGTTACATGATCTGTCTGTCTCAAAGATACGCTATGCCTCCAAATATCACACTGGTCTTCAATATTTTCATCGTGTTTGAAATGAAAACTAGTTGCAATTTAACAGTGCGCGTGGGTTCGTGGCGGAGGATGATCTCTGTTGCAAATCGAGTGCAAAGGCCATCCTGTCGAGGAAATGGTATGCCGCTAATGCCTTCAAGAACCGAGCTTTTCCCGGCGGAATGGTCCCCATAAACTACCAACTGTGGTAGGGCGATGTGGTCGCTAACTCCATTCGCGCGGATTCGGTCGATTTGATGGACGCGCTTGGACGTTTTGGATGTCTGGAGACTGAGGTTCCTCTGTGGATGAGAAGAGTCATACACAATAGGTCGTTTGTCTGGAGGCAAAACAGACATTTTTGTAGAGTTCCGATCGCTCACGGTCATCTGCACCTGTTTAGTCTAAAAACAAACAGCGTTGGTTCAATGTTCTTAGGGGGCTTTGAGCCAATTTAAATTCCTACTCACGACTGTTCTCAGCTACAGAGTAACCTCACTCTCCAGTCATCCAAAACCTACAAGCACATCAATACATTAGGCCGAATCTGCAAGAATGTGACTAGCAACTGCAATGCAAAGGAGAAATGATATACTGAATTTGCGATATGCAAACTCCCCGGGTGCTTATCTGGGAGAAATACCCGCTGATGTACCCTTTGACCTTGTATGGGTATTGTGAAGGCTGGGGCCCTTGCATACACCTTGCGTATACAAAGGGCAGACTTCTTAATGACTTTGATGGCTGGTGCTTCGATATCAGGTCTTGGACGCTTCTCTCCTTCTTCTGAGACGCTAATCATTCTTCTCTCCAGCTGATAAACTAATCACAATTTTCATAGTGTGTTCCCAATTCAGCTAGGGATACGATCAAAAAGAGTGATGAAGGTAAACTAAATCCGCGCTGTATACAGTGAGACCTGAACATCGTCATCAACATGTTCATAAAAAGCGAAGGTCAGCGGGATGTGGGTGGGTGAATGACACGATTTAACTGTAGTGGTATATATATGTAGGTGTTGGGACCACATCGTGGGGATTAGTGTGGGATTTGTTTGAAGCTTCGAGTAGAAGTTTGAAAACTATCCGGGCCCGCCATGCAGGGAGATATGTTGCGGCATTAAGGGACACAGAAAAGGCCTATGGCTTTAATGTGTTCAAGCATTGAAGCTGAATTGTATTTTCTATTGCCTATGAACGCAAGGCCGATATGATCGCCCTTAGTAACCTAGAATCTTGTTGACTTCCTGCGCCAGTTTCATCGACTTCTCGTCCTTTCCGCTGGCTTGGATAGGACTCAATCCCATGGCCATTTTGCCAGCCTCGGACTGGATGTCCCCAACTTGAGCTCTATCTGAGAATTGAGACTCACCTAGGCCACCGGGGAAGTCAGGTGGGGGGTTGCCCGACAAGAAGGCATCGCGTTGTTGCGCGATGTATTGCTAGCTGATGTTAGTATCGAGATGTATCCAGATTGTGGAGGAATACCTTACCGCATTGCTGGGGGTCAGTGGGACTGATGGAATGTAGAAGACGCAAGCGTCGTTCTTTCCTGTGTTTTCAGTTTCCGTGCCGTGGATAGTATCGGCGCTCCAGAATACTGATGAGGTTAGCTTTATTCGGCTGACAGATGTGTGGCAGCCTTACCGATATCGCCTGGCTCCACGGTGGGATAGGGAATCATAGTTTCCTTGAGGTTTAGATGAGGATGGTGGTCAGGAGTAAGCTCTTGTGCAGTTCCCGGATTAGCACCATTCAGATAGACATTGCCTTCTTCGTCATCGAGAGAAAACTTCCATCCATCCAAGGAGCCCTTTCGGGTAGGCTTGAAAAAGGGTCGAAGTATCCAGTAAGCGGTAGAGGGCTGCAAGATGGGATGGACGACAAGAGTGCCTGTGATGAGTCAGCATCAAGCAATTCTCATATGTATCACTCACTCACCTTCTTCAGGTCCGTGGCGAGATAGCCCGAGCCAGCTCTGGAAAGCCCGGAAGACAGAACAACCGCCTGGTGCTTCATACATATTCATGTTGGCATCAAGACGGCCAGTCAGATCCCATGGATCGTACTCATTCAACTGTCGTGCTGTTAGTGATTATTCGGAGTAGGTATGGGGTGCTTGACTCTACTTTTCCTTGGAAGATCTTTCGGTAGACATGGTTATAGGCGCGGTCCTCCCATCTCTCGACTCCTCCGCCATCGACGTGAGGCGGAAGTCCAAAGTGTTTGTCGCCGGGTGGACGGATTTGAACACGGTCACCGTAGGTCAGCGGGATTGAGAGATCGACTAGAAAATGTTAATCAACTAGGCAGATTTCACCATCGCAAGGCCACGTACCCTTTTGATCCGCATCGGCAGAATACAGTTGATTCATCCATGATTGTGTGGCTAGCACGTTAGGATGCGACCTCGCTTTCACCTGAGACGGACTCCAGTATGATTCGTAGATAACCTATTTGTGGTCAATATAATCTCGGATATTGGTGCAAAACGAAAGATTACCTTCTTTTCCGCATCAGACGGGAACCCTTTGAAGGAGTGCCCGTCAAAGTATTGACGAACCTCAGAGAGGAGTCCTTCAGCAACATTCTTCGGCACTACCCCTCTGATAACGGCAACACCAGTGCGTCGTATAGCATTAACACTCTCCGGAGATACAGTGCCGGCTTTAATGTCAGAAAAGTTCAATTTAGGAATTATCTACTGTTGTTAGCAAGTGGCCTAGCTTTGGTTTTCAAAGGCGATGAACCTACCGACTCTCGCTTGGAAGCGACTTCATCAGTACGGACCTTGAGAGTCTGAACGAGATCATCCCAAGACTTCTGAATTTGTTCTTCGAACCCGGTGGTGAGGTTACGCTTCAGATCACGGAAACGGTCAGGTAGTGGCGGGCTTTTTCTGCCGGAGAAAGTCGAGAACACCGAGGATATATCGCCCTCTTTTTTGTCTTTGCGGGTGAGTGGCGATGCTTCAGTTGCTAAAAGACGCTTAGGTGTTCCTGGGCATTTTCCTGCGCGGAAGGAAGAGCAGCTAACACACTTTGGTGAAATAAGTCTGTTCATGATAATAATTTTGCGTTGTTGAGTGAAATTCAAATATATTGTGATTCCTTCCCTGGACTATATATACTCATCTCCAGTGATCTTGGCTGGTCATTAAACTTGATTGCCACTGACGTCCCCGGGATAGAATCGAGTGAATGGGGTGCGTGAATGTTGGGGGTAAGCAGTCGGGTTCTTGCTTATTTTGGTAAGATTCCGACTGGGAAAAGGGAAGGTAAGCTAAGCCCAGTAAATGATATCGGAACCAACAACAATTGTTGAATATGGATGCGGAATCACCCAAGAAGTCTCGTTGAAGCGGGGATTCATGCATGCTTGGGCTATAGAACCGGGATCCGATTGGGTCTCTATGAGCCTGTGGTGTCCAATACTCAGTTTTTATGACGACAATTAGTGAAAATGGCGATGCTTCCGACGTAAATGACCTACATCTCACATAGTTGAGCAACGGCTGAAGATGTCGGAAACTCCGAATTAGGAAATCTATCCGACAAATATGGGGTTGGCCTCCGCACCGGGGACAGCCCTGGGCCCTTTGGCCGTCTGGAAAAGGGGATAAAAAAAGATAAAAGCAGAGAAAAGAAGAGAACGCCTGGAAGTTGACTTGTTCTCGAACTATGGTTTTCGCTGACCTTCTAACAGTACTCAACTTTTCAAATAACAAATCAGATGAGGGAGGAATATGTAATACTACACTAGTGTCCTTGTATATTCAGCTTTTCCTAATTATATCCTCAGAGCAGTTGCTGTTTGGAGACACATTTATGATTCCCAAAAAAAGCCGGGGGTGTTCTTGAGTTCTTGAGTCTTGGTATATCGACATGTTACCGAAAGTGGTGAAATTGACTTCAAAAATACGACAACAGAGATTGAGCAATATTCATGAGTATTATCGGCGAGACTCTGTTGGAGAATTGGTTCCAGTGGATTGACATGTATGATATTATGGAGCCATATTGAATCTTTGGGTTCGTAGTTAGCTACTTGACCTCCGCTCGGGATAAATCTGTTTCCCCGATAGCCATGGTCTGGCCAATTTTTTCAAGATGTCATTTCCCAGTATTTGCTTCCCTGAAACGGATCCCTCCGAGTACGCATACATCACCAGGTCTCGCATGGTCGACTCATCCAGAGATCCCCCACGAGTATGGCAGATATTTTGTGCAACGATGAAAAGTCGTTCCGCGCCAGCTCCTGTAGTCGGAATGGAGAGTAGATCTCGAGTCAGTCGAGTGAGAACAGGCCATTCGCGTTCGTGGTCTCTCCAGTAAGCGCTTGGAGAGATATTGACACCCCTGTTGTGTGTCAGTAGTCAACGTGCAAAATACTGAGCAGTTTTTCAGACCTTCGCGGAGATATTGATCAACTTCATCTTGACCATTCCTCGAACCACCCGCCAGACCAGCTAGTGGGTGCAAAATCCGGTCAAGCCCCAACAATTGCGGGTAACACGACAGTCCATTCACGCAAGACAAGATCGTGGGCATTTGCGGTCGGTACTGTAGTGAAAGATCCTCAGATACTCGATGTAGAGCTCAGGATGGCCTAAGCCTTGCGATGACGGGGCCGATATACAGCACCTAAGCAAAGGTTGGAAGTTTATGCAGGGTTCAGACAAGCAACTTATTACTAAATAATTATAGGTACATAGATCCATGGATATGTACCCATGGATGGGTGGATAGGAGCTTTAGTACCTACATATACATATGCGGGACAGTACACGAAGTACCTATAGGGCTACCTAGGTAGTAATGGGTGGCTTACTATTTTCTGCAAGGCGGCTAGAATTACTCCTATTGTCGTAGTTGTGGTTTGATTCGTCGCCCATAGGGCCAATCAACACAGCTAAGGACCACGGGTGTTGAGCGCTTGGCACGGTTATATCGAGATAAGAAATCGGCCTTCTCGCCGCTCGCGGGGGTTGTATGTGATTACATAACACCAGATGACGCCAGAGTCCCCGCAATCGTTCGTGATCCTTCTATTTATTTTGCGTTCTACATTTTATTTCTCCTTGAAAAACTGAGACTTCGATCCATGAACCATCTACGAGCTTGCATAAGATCAATTGGACAATTTCGACGAGTCTCACACCCCTTTGCATCCTCCGCAAACCCCACGTCCTTCCTTTTCACGGCCCACCGAACTTCTATCCGACGCACCATGGCTTCCGCAATGGCAAAGCGCCTCGAAGGCAAGACCATCGTCGTTACCGGTGCCTCATCTGGCATTGGAAAGAGCACTGCCAAGGAGTTCGCCCGCACGTCGCCCAAGAACCTGAAGTTGATTCTCACCGCGCGCCGCATCGACACATTGAAAGAGGTCGCGGCGGAGATCACACAGGAGGTTGGCAATGGTGTCCAGGTTCTTCCCGTCAAGCTGGATGTCAGCAACCCAGAGGAAGTGAATAACTTTGTTTCCTCGCTGCCGGAGGAGTTCAGGGAGATTGATGTCCTTGTCAACAATGCGTGAGTCATACAGATCAAGCCAAACTGGATTGATATGCACCATCGATACTGACATTTACGGTGCAGTGGCTTGGTTAAGGGTGTCGCCCAGGCACCTGAGATCGCTGCCGAGGATATCAAGGTCATGTTTGACACTAACGTCACCGGTCTCATTAATATGACCCAGGCCATCCTGCCCATCTTCAAGAAGCGCTCTGAGGGTGGCCGTGGTGACATTATCAACATTGGCAGTATCGCCGGTCGCGAGCCTTACTCTGGCGGTAGCATCTACTGCGCCACCAAGGCTGCTGTCCGTTCGTTCACTGATGCGCTGAGAAAGGAGCTCGTTGCCACGAGAATTCGTGTTATTGAAATCGATCCTGGTCAAGTTGAGACGGTATGGCTATCGGATACATTGATAGGTGTCTTTGATATGAAGCTAATACCCGTGATTAGGAGTTCTCTGTTGTGCGATTCAATGGAGACAAGTCCAAGGCTGATGCTGTCTACAAGTAAGTCATGCCAGATAAGCCGAAAAACACATTATCATTAACCATTGACAGGGGCGTCGAGCCATTGACCGGTGATGATATCGCCGAAGTTGTTGTCTTTGCGGCTGGTCGTCGTGAGAATGTTGTGATAGCCGATACCCTGGTCTTCCCCAGCCACCAAGTAAGTTTGTTTTGCGGTTAAAGTTTCTTATGGACAGTTTCTGACTATTGTATAGGCCGCGGCTGGTGTCATGCACCGCAAGTCGTAAATTACACGCACAAATCCGAATGAAGGTTTAGAGGTTTAGATAGCGCTCACTGTACATGTTACAAGGTCTCACGTTGTGTGGCGTAAATACGAAGTACATATCCGACCGCCAATAATATGGATTCAAATTAGGTCGATAAGACCGAAGTAAAGAAAATTATCACGCTTCGTATATTGCATAGTATACATGAGAAAAGTTCATATCTATCAATGAGACAGAGGCATTAACCGAGTCACGGTCATTGGCATCCAGGCTCATTTCAAGAAATGACCCGATGATCAGAGAGCAACGAGGGCCAGTGCAGCTGCAACACCACCGGCAGCCCAGCGAGCATTTCCGGTGATCATGGGCACAGCAGCGTTACCAGTCTTAGACTGGCTGGTGGCAGCAGCACTGCTCTTATCCGAGGAACCAGCAGTGCTAGTACCAGTGCTGGTGCTGGTGCCAGTAGCGGTGCTGTCGGAAGTAGAAGCAGAAGTGGTCAAAGTAGCAGCGCCAGTCGAGGTGGCTGTAGAAGCCGAGACCGAGGCACCAGTGGTGGCGGATGCGTTGTCAGTTCCAGTTGCCGTGATAGTAACAGGCATTAATGCGCCACCGGGAATTTCTGTGATAGCGATGGCCGAATTCCACGTGGAGGTTGTGCCGCCCTCGTTAAGGGTAGCGCCGCAACTGGCGGTTTTGGCATCGTACTTGCAGCTCTCAGCGATGGTGCTGTTTCAGGAAAGGATCAGCTATGACTGTGGGGGATAAGTGGATTCCTTGTAGGGCTAGATACTCACGTTCCCTCCATACCGTACCCTAGGCTGACGGTTGAAGAGCCTTGGGCCACGGTCATGCCATCGGGTGGAAGGCCACAGTCGGTGGAATCAACGCCGACAGCACATTTGATGAGATATTTGGTCATGGAGCCGCTCTGGAACAATATCAATTAGTTTTCTGTACTAAACCAATAGAGAGATGATTGCGCATACAGTGCCAATGACCTTGCCCTCAATTCTTTGCTCGTCGAACCCGGGGAGGAAAAGAGTGACTGTTTCGGCAGCGATAGCGGCAGTGGCACCGGCCAAGAGAGCGAGAGATTGGATACGCATGTTGTATTAAATTAATTAACGAATGTAGGGGTAGTCAAACGAGCGACAAAAATCGAAATTGTATGTGAAAAGAAGATAAGAGAATGGACTTAGGAGATAGAGCGACCATCGCCTTCATATACGATGAGAATTTAATTTAGGTATCATAAGCAGTAAGCAGCCCCGGGGCCCCCGGGCTTTGGGTTCCAGTTCAGTCTAGACAGAACGGTCTAAAGCCATTTGGGATAATGGCGTTGAAACGGAGCCTTCCTATTGGCTGTCTTATTATACCCTAGCCGACTAAGAGATAGTCTCTAGCCTATTTAGGTGCTAGCGTGGTGCTAGTCTCCGTGAGAATTATACCGCTATACCCAATCAAGCTATTTGAACCCCTTAAGTGACTGCCAAAATAGCCCCGAAGGACCGAGACGCAGGGCAGCCCCCAAGAAAACGGATCTATTGAATTCTGGGTTTCAACCAATCTTGAATTCCGGATAAGTACCGGGCGGGTTTTATCTATAGGGTCTCAATTTGAGTAGTTGGGCATTTGCGATCTAGTTTCACTTCAATGTTTTTGCACTGTTGGTCTCTGCAAAAAGACTGCATTCTTCGGAGCTCTAAAGATAACCAGAAAAAGATGCCGAAATATCCCAAGTATCAGAAGATGCCCAGGTGTGCCCAAGTAGACTTATACCGGGCAGTGTCAATGTCAGCAACAAGCAAATTTCCACCAAGCTAGTCCCTTAGCGGACGCAGTGCCGGGCCGCCCTCAGCCTCAACTTCCCCCGTTTTGCCACGGATTTCTTGACAAGGCTGACCCCTTTTTACATTTACATTTTTTTTTAAAAAAAATACAAGTTGATAAGCCATTTTAGCATTTTAGCACTCATCTACCATTCCCTATCGTGTGGGGGGTTTTTAATCAGATAAGATTTTCTTTTATTTGTACATGCATGATTCATGCGTGCTTCATGTTCTGGCAGGATATGTACGGTTTGTTGAGCCAGAATAGTCAGACAATAGACTCAGCCAATATTTTGATCTCAGATGACCATCCCAGAGCCCCTTCTCCTTTATTACTTTACCCTCTCACATCCATGGATGGCTCTGAGTCAACGTAAATGGCTCCCTGGAAACCCATTTCTCCACAGCCTGATTCAATGCACCCTGCGTTGATTTAGCCCGAAGCCCCGCAAACACAACCTCATGGAAATACTCCGTGGACCCTGAGTCGCCATATTAAAAGTGGCTTGCTTGTAAGCCATGTGCCCCCAAACATCCACTGCCTCCCCGCTAACCTAGCAGGGTGGTTCGCTGAACCTAATTGCCAAGCTTCAAACACAGTAATGCTAAGCGATTAGCTGGTGTCCATTTCTTCAACAGCCAACCATGCATATCTCAACTGAACTTCATAAGGGTCTTTGAGACAGGCTAGCATTGTGGCTGATGCTGCGGGTGATCATTTCCCATCGGACTTCCGAGTTATCTCGCCCGAAGGAGGAGCACGCTGCACCCTGATTCGAGTACCGTCGTTCGCGACAACGGCCACACGAACACATATCCTATATAGGCTCGATTTTATGCATGGAATCCTCTTGGCAAGGCATATTTCGACCTTGGCATAAACTACAAAGAAGAGCTCTGTCTTCTTCAATTCTCTATAAAGGAGCGCCGTGTAAACCAACTCCGGAACCGCCCACTAACCCAACCCCTCAAGAGCAAACATATTCACTACTACTACCAGATATAGAAACCATTTTTCACACCAATCAACTGTTTTCCGACCAACGCAATGGCAGGAAAAATCGATGTCAACAATAAGGTCTATAAGCTCGCCGCTATGCCCTTCATTTTGGAACGCAAAGGCGACTACGATGAAGCGATCACAGTCTACAAGAACGCCATAACTATTTTAGATGAAGCAACCAAAATATACAAGAAAGGAAATGTTCTCAAAATCAACAGAAAAATGTTCGAGCGACAGGTCCAAGTTCACCGAGAACGCCTCGCCTATCTTGAAGACCTAAAACGCAAGGGCAGTTTCGATGGTATAATATTGCCTCCGACGATTTTGGATGCGATGGAGGAGGTGGAACACGAGGACGGAAAGACTTGGTCGTTGACCCAGGTAAGCCGCGCACTCCAGGACATGGCACGCCTATTCCAGGTCACTGATTCTTGTCAACTGCCAGATCCGCAAGGATCTTAATACCTTCCGCGGAGATGACCCCAGTCAATCTAAGGATATCAGCTCAGCTCCAGCCCACCTCCAACCATTCCTCAATACCGACACCTCGCAACGCCCCTTCTTCTCGCTGATCCTTTCTCCCTCCGCGCCCACGGTCACTTATCGGATTACGCATTCCTCAGAGCTTGTCAACCTAGGTATGCGCTCATATTGGTTTTTCGTCAAAGATTCGACCAACACACATGTCTTGTACGCCCTCCAATTCGTCTGGAGTAACGAAGCACCCATCGTCGAGACGGTCCTTCGACGCGCCGGGGAATTCTTACCCCAAATCGGGGCGACGAGTGTGAGACTGCAGAAGATGAAAGGAGGCACTTTCCGGATGATCACGCGGACAATCCCCGACATGGGCGCAATAACCGAGATTCCGGATGGAGAGATGCAGAGAAAGGATTGGTCGCCGCGACGATTTGAGTACGGAGGACGCAATTTCGTTTGGAAGAGTGCAGCGGCAGAGGGTAAGAAAGAGGGTGGGATGCTTGGGAGCTGGGGCATCGCGTGGGAGACTTTGTATGAGACTAAGCGTGTATGGCCTAAAAGTGGAAGTAGGACTGGGAAGATGGAAGATGAAATTGTTGGTCCCAGGCTGTGCTGGGGAGAGAAGAAGGGGGGAAACGGTGCGGATCACAGCATTCACATGGTCGGTGGCTTGGATCTGTATTTCAGAGAGCATTTGCTCGCGGTCCAGTTGTCGAGGTTGGCTCGCGCCAGCTATCCCCCGCAAAAGGATACCAAGGGCATCGAAGTAGCAACAGCCGGTCTGGGTTGGCTTTCGATTGCTACGTCTTTGGCATGAAATCCTGGCGAGGAGCCTCGGATTCCTTTTTCGCTGCACGTCTTCCTTTTTTTTTATGATACCGAGTTGTGCTTTTTAGTCGCGGTGAAGAAACGAATTAACGCCATTTCAATAGGCCATCATCTGAGTGGTGTGGTTAAACATTTACATCCAAGGCTTCACGAGGTCAACCGTCTGATGGCTGTTGAAGTTGCTCCAAGAAGTCTTTATCCAAATTTCCAGCGTAGAAGCCTAAATTTTGAGCGAAAAGAGGTTGTTGCCTACTGAGAGTCAGTATGCAGAGGACATTTGGGAAAGAGGCCACATACCTGTTTATCGGAATGGAGGTGACCATTTCCTCGAACAGAGCATCAAATCCCTCGTTGTCTCCAAGTGCAACCCCAGCCGGTGATGGAAAAGTCGAAATAGCACAAGAGTCAGGGGCGGGATTCCTTGGGGGAGCAATAAGGGAGCTTTCGGGTCGCGTTTCTAACACTTGTAAATCTGATGGCTGGACAAACCCATTGTAAGAAGGGTCCATTCGAGTATTCTCGGCTCTTGCAGGGCGCATGTTAATCGATCCCTGGAGGCTTCCCATTCCGGCCTCCAAGTTCTGTAGGTACGGACAAAGTCGGTTTCCGAGAGCCCGTCTTTCCTCAGAAGTAGGATCAGAGTAAACCATATCAAAGCACTTCTGGCACTGTAGAGCAAAACAAGACAATAATGGTGATATTTGTGACACTCCAGCGATCTCCAGATATCGATCCAACAAACTAAGAGTGGATCGCACGAGGTTGACAACTAACTTCTTTCCGGTCATGTCGAGCGTTGGGCTTCTTTTCAAGGACTCCAGCATCACAAAGGAGGATGTGAGATGCAAAATGAGTAATGGAGGAGTGGTGTATGCTGGGCCTTTGCTATGTGGGTACTTTTCAACAAGTATTTTCAGCTGGGATTGCAGATTGGCTGACAACTCACGCTGATCTGCGTGTGGCATATTGGTCGACATATACAATATTCGAGCCAAGTGCTTCATGAGCTGACTGATATTATTAAAGATGCTCAACGCTCGCAGGGGTCCTTTGGGTGTGTCTCGGTGTCCACCTTCTGAAGCTCGTGGGGATATCGACCATATATCCCATTCTTCTATGTTGTCTTCGTTGATCAGTCCTTCTTCCTGTTGCTCTTCCAACGACATGCAGGGTGCTCTGTTCAAAACCGCAGACAAAATGTTGTCAAGGAAGATACACCCATGGAAAGTAGTATGATATCGGTTGTTTTTGGAAGCTATCGGCAATGTCGCCAGCATTCTGGAAGCCTGGCCAACAAGCCTCCACGAATTCTTGATGTCTCGTAGCTTCAGCTGCAGTAGAGCAATAACAATGACAGCTTGTATGTGTCCTAGTTCCAAATTTATCGATTCTGACATGATGCGTGCGGAGATTGATTGTTGTATTTGCAAAGGGTCTGGCTGCCTTGGGTCACTACCATCTTTTGTGGATGATTCGTAAGCCACGACTGCCCAAAGAACTAAGCTTGAAGCATTGCTCGGGCTGGCTTCGGGTTCAAGACTGGTATGCATTGTCCGAAATAGATCATGACGCTCTAAAATCGGGAACCAGCAGTGTGTATATGTGAAATAACTCTCCAGCATGCTGAGTGTATCCACTGGAAACTGTATATAAACACAATCCATTTGACCTGTGCCAATATTTGGAATTTGTTGCTGCAGGGCAGGTTCATTGAGGCCCAAGGTGGCAGCCTCGGTGCCAGCAATAATGGCTCCTGGTGTGTTGGTCATCTCTAGGGTGTCCCATTCAGATTCATCAGGAACCGTCATTGTGGATATTTCTTGTGGATCATGTTCAATCAATTTCGACAGATCTTTTGCCAGTCGAGAGTGCCGCCAGATAGTTGCAGGATCTCTGGGAAGGAAGTGGTCATTGTTTTGTGATTTGATCAAAAGATCATGCACTGTTCTTTCGCTGTTTGGGACATGCTGGAGAACAAGCCCAAGGACTGTCTCCAAGCTTCGGACATATCCAGGGGGCAAGCCTCGCCGTCCACCGCCATTTTGATAACTGCAAGTACGATTTGCCGTGCGGCAGATGGAGCAAACAGGCTGTTCCCCGTCACACTTGGACTTTCGCCGACGACATTGATCACATGCCCGGCAAATTCTTTGTCGCTTGGAAGGACGATGGCTAGGCATATGTGCTTTCAAACAAACTAAAAACCATCGGTTTTCGAGCTTTCATGGTTCATGCAAGCTGATGTCGTTCGTGGTGTCACGTGATCGGCAATGATTTTAACCGATCCCAAAGAGGCCGACAGCCTCCTCGCGTTTAGGTGAACAAATGGTTTCTTGAGGGTAGAAAAGCACCAAGGCTGAGCCCTTTCAAGGTATTCATTTTGGCAGTCGCTATGTCAGCAGCACAGCCGCCATATCCCTCAAGTACACCTGGTCCACCCGAAGGCCCCGGCTCCCGACAATACAGCGCCGATGCTACCATCTTGCTAGTTGGTTTTTTTGGAGCCGGCAAGAAAACCCTAGGACTAATTGCCTCCGTTGCTCTTCGTCGACGCTTTGTTGACTTCGATGAAATCTTCCGGGACCAAATGCAGTATTCACCTCAAGAGTTTATTGCAGACCATGGATTCAAACGATATCGCGAGGTAGAGATAGAGGTGTCTCAACATGTTCTCACAAATTATCAAACTGGTTGTGTCATCGCTGGCCTTGGGTTCGCATCCAGTCCGTCTCAGCGGCAGTTATTGACCACCTTTGCACAGCACCATCCCATTGTGTATGTGCGGAGAAGCAAAGCAGAGCTTCAACATTTTATCGGAATGAACCCGCATACTTTTGACCATATCTTTGAATTCGAGAATGCCTTCTTCGAGTCATGTTCAAACTTTGACTTTTTCAACATCACGCAAGAGCCGAGCCAACAGGCCGAGAGTCAGATTCACACATCACTCAAACTGAAGGAGGTTGAACGCATCTTTGTGGCCTTTCTACATCGCATATTTGGCAATCCACGCAAGCAGCTCTTCTCTGCCGATCCTTTTTCTGCGACTCATACATACGCCCTTGATTTGTCATTGAAACAGCTTGAGACGGATCTAGACCTCGAACTTTTGGATGCAGGCGCCGATGCCATTTATCTCACATTGAGTCGTGAGGAATATAGTCGCGATGATATACTGGTTAGCCTGTCACGCTATATGACCATTCTCAGGAAGCACACCCGTGTTCCGATAATTCTTGATGCACGAACAGATCCAGAGAAAGACTCGACAGGCTACTTGGAATTCTTGGAAACAGTAGCACTACGGGTAGCTCCTGATGCTTTCACTTGTCTGCTCTGGAACAAAGATATTGTTCGGCGAATTTATGCTACGAAAGGTCACTCCAAAATGATTGCCCTATGCCACCAAGTGGGCCCCCTAGGGGTTGAAATGTCATGCTCCGAAATTTCTAATCTTCGGGTGTGGCTCAAAGACTTTGGTTTCGAAGCTCTCCGCATTACCGGTCAACAGGCAGTTGCAGAAGACGCACTTGCATGTGTTGCCTTTCGCCGAATGTTGACAGATGCCCTCAATATTCCAGTTATTGCATACAATACCGACCCTGAGGAGCGAGCTTCCATACTCTTGAACCCGACTTTATCTCCGATACGGGTCAGTCCTGGTCAAGGCTCTATAATCTCTCTGCGAGACACCCAGCAAGCGCTAAGCTCTCTGTCTCTACGTCCTAACAAATTATATAAGATCGTGGGTCAAGATGTCCGTCATAGTCTGTCACCAGCAATGCACGATGCAGCCTACGCCGCCTGTGGTCTCCCCCATAGGTATGACTACCAGGAGATCCAAAACTTCCGCGAAATTGAAGTCATGTTGAGAGTGCCATCTTTTGGTGGCTTTCTTGGTGGTTTGATCATTTCACTACCATTCAAAAATGATGTTTTACCCTTACTCGACGAGATCAGTCCCGACGCAAGGGACATTAATGCAGTAAATACTGTGGTACTGGAGCACAAAGTTCAGCCGAGCGGAGTGAGAACTCCCTTTTACCGTGGATACAACACGGACTACATCGGAATCAAAGATTGTGTTCACAGTCACCTCTCTCCAGCAAACGCCATTCGAGGTGGCAGTACAGCTCTGATCATAGGCGCCGGTGGGATGGCTCATGCTGCTGTCTACGCTTGCTATCAATTAGGAGTTCGGCAGATATTCATTTACAACAGAACTCTTTCTAACGCACAAAAGCTGGCTGGTTACTACAATGTATGGGCGAGATCAAAGGGTGACAAGATCTTCCATTTGGATGTCCTTCAGTCAATAGAGGACGCCTGGCCATCGGACTTTCGTCTTCCAACAATCGTCATTTCATGCATTCCTGGGAGGCATGTTGGCACTCAATCGCCTGTCGTCTTCCAAGTCTCTGATACGTGGCTTCGAAGTCCAACGGGAGGAGTATTCGTTGAGGTAATGTATTTACCTCTCCCTAATAACACCAGGCAACTGACACTATTATTAGGTTGGTTATGGTCCATCGAAGACCTCGTTGATGGAGCAGATGACTCCGTGGTCAATGAAAGGATGGGTCATCGTTGATGGATTGAAGGTTCTTGTCAAACAGGGCATTACCCAATACGAACTCTTTACCCAGAGACCAGCTCCTGTGCACGTCATGCGGCGAGCCGTTCAAGAAGAAGCCATCAAAAAAGGGTACTTCCATATGTGGTAATTTGCCACTGACTGTCGGAGTCTTGATCAATTCGCTGGGCGACTTCACACCTGGGTACCTAATTATAAGTACATAAAATTTGTCGTGGAGAAATATTTCATTGAATTGAATCGTATTATCTTCCTCCATGTTCACGGCTAAGATCTAAAGCGACAACGGCAAGATCTTAACCTGCCCCACAAATGGGCGGGTGTATCTCCTCCATAGCATTGACATTGTTCGCAACAACATCTCATCAACTCCAACTCATTATCAAATTCAGGTTCCCAAACAGAAACCATGACATATCAACCTGCTATTATGAGCGTCTCCTTAGGAAGAGCTTGGCTCCATGATTTTGACTACAAGATGGGCCAGGCTTCAAAAGCAGGTTTCAAAGGAATAGAAATCTTCTACGAAGACCTCGATTATTTCGCACGAGAAATTTCTAGGAACGACAGCCCAACATCCGATCAACTGCTCCAAGCAGCAGATGATATTCGGTCAATCTGCCAAGCCCACGCGCTGGATATCATCACGCTGCAGCCGTTCCTCTTCTATGAGGGGCTCAAAGACCGAGAGCAACATGCACAGCTGATTGAAAAGATGAAACTCTGGCTGCAGCTGGCAAAACGTTTAAATACCAACACCATCCAAATCCCCGCCAATTTCCTCCCCGCAAACCAACTCACCGACGACGTTGATGTCATAGTTGCCGACCTGAGGCAACTGGCGGATATGGGCGCCGCCGAAACTCCTCCTGTCCGCTATGCGTATGAGAACCTCTGCTGGAGTACGATCAATGACACCTGGGAGAAGGTCTGGGATGTCGTCAAGCGAGTTGATCGACCTAATTTCGGCATTTGTCTTGACACCTTCAACATCGCGGGGAGGGTGTGGGCCGACCCCACATCGCCAACTGGCAAGACAGTCAATGCGGATTCGGATTTGAAGGAGTCGCTCGAGCGAATGGTTGCCGATATCGATGTTGCGAAAGTCTTTTATCTTCAGGTTGTGGATGCAGAGAGAATGGAATCGCCACTAGTCCCTGGTCATCCATTCCACGTGGAAGGCCAGCCGGCGCGAATGAGTTGGTCCCGGAATGCGAGAGCATACATGTACGAGGAGGACCGCGGAGTATATCTGCCAGTCGAAGATGTAGCAAGAACCATTGTGTCAGGGTTAGGATACAAGGGATGGGTCTCGATGGAGTTGTTTTCGAGAACGATGGCTGAAGAGGGTCAAAATGTACCTGATCAACATGCGCAGAGGGGTATCGTATCTTGGAAGAAGCTACAGCAGAGGCTCCAGCTTAATTAATGTTTGTGAATGTTTGTGATACTCGAAGAATGCAAAATTGCGACCACAATATGCATGTTATGATAAGATATATTCCCCGGTATCTAGTTCTCTTATACGTCAATTTCTTTTCCATCCAACCACTCTTTAGCAAGTCGATACAACAAATCATGCTTCTCCCCACAAACAGTTCCAGCATGTCGACGATGACCAGGCATATCCCTCAACACCGAGACCCCCATGGTAAGCTCTTGGCAATATGCCAGACACTTATATCCCTCCGGATACGAGTTGAGCTTCTGCACGTCAATGCTGGGGAACTGATTCGGGATCACAGGCAATAGCTTGTCCTTCTCATACCAATGTCGCACAAACCGCGCACCCCAGCGACCGTCGACTTTCTCGAAGAAGAAGCAAAACCGGCAGTCTGCCTCCGCATCCACTTCTATTCCATCGATTGTGAATCGCTGCGTGATAGTGGCTTTCATCTTGGTGACAGCGCGACTCGCATCGGGGGTAATGTCGGTCGTTACTCCATGGCATCGGTGCATGATGAATGCCCCCTTGTCCATTCCCGCTTTGGAGGCTGCCATAAAGTCCAGGTACGAAACTCGGCCGGACCATGTGGTGTAGACATATGCTCCTGGGTGGAAGATTGATTCGAAATTCTCCCATTCACAGGCATCACTAGAATTTTTGTTCAGCTTAAGATCAAGCATATATTGATGTAGGTTGCCCTTACCGGTAGCAAGGCCATCCCTCGGCTAGCTCGCGGAGTTTCGCACGCTCAAGAACCAGGTTATCTGGTCCGTTGTTGCGAAAGGCATGTTTGGGCCAGGTTCCCTCGGGTAAGGAGTGTAAGTTAGGCATGATAGAACTGAGTTGGTATAGATTCAATGTTGTTAATTCAAAAGATGTAAGATATAAATATACCTTTTTGCGGGGTGCGTTGGGGCGGGTAATCATTTTGACGGCTGAATTCATTGCCGAGAGACTCCGATATATACCTCTCAGAGTTGAATGGGCAAAATGTCTTGATAAAGTCAATTATTTGATCTAGTAATCTTTGGAATAGAGAAAGATGGGCGTAGGATGTATGTAAGACTCTATTTTCAGTAACTAGAAGTTGATCCCTTTACTCTCTTCGGCTGCCTTGAGCAAGACATCCCATGCACCCTCCCGGTCCAGTTTCAAGACATATTCCTCCCCAGCCCACAAACGCCACTGCTCCTCAATTTGGTACCCGATAACATGCGTCCCTTCCACACAAGGCCATCCCAGCTTCTCGCCCAGTTTGATCATCCTTGTTCTTCGCGGTTTGAAACACATGTCCAACAGAACACCCTTTTCCGGCCGCGACAGGAATGACTCGAGAACACTAGCCACTGTGAGCTCGGTCTCAGTCTGTGGCTCAAAATCGGGCACGGTTCCAACGATGTAGTACGGATTGGGTAGCTTCTTTGCCTGCTCGAGCGTTTTCACGTGGATGATCGTTGGGACCCTGGCCAGCTTTTGCGTGTCGTGCATGAGGCTGGCAACTTCCTGATCGTCGCGATTCAAGACATAGATTTTCGGGCAATGCAAGTGCATCGACAGGGCATAGACAGCTGCACGGCTCGCACCTCCAGCTCCCACAATCAAGGCTGTGGCAGGCGAAGTCGCCGATGGCCTCTCGTTCTCATTGCCTTTTTCCAAAAGGCAACCCTTGATCCCGCGCCAGTCTGTATTGGTGCCACACATGAGCCGCATAGTGCCACTCTTGTAATAGATATTATTGCAGGCTCCGATCATGGTAGACAGCTCATCCAGCTCGTCAACATGTTTCATGATCGAGTTCTTGTATGGCATAGTCACTACCAGACCCGCGGTGGTGGGTGCCTTAGCAAGCTTGAGCACGTCATCAAGTGTGGGACATTCGGTTGAATAGAATGTCCAAGGGATACCAAGAGATTTCGCAATATAGTTGTGCATGCTATAGGCGATGGAATGGGTGACACCCAATCCGACCAGGTGGAGGGTCATTTCTTGGGATTGCGACTGCGTCATTGTTGGTCAAGGAAACGTCAGATTCGAGAAAGACGAGAGCGATATTCTGTCGCACTAATAACTAAAAATGTGTTTAAACGCTCAAGTCTCTACACTGGAATCGTGACCTTTATGCGGATGTAGACTATCCGTGTTGACGGCGATGGGATCCACAGTCGACTAAATTCATAGCCGATGCGACACATAGTTCGAGATTATGCACTTCCAAGGGTTTATAACCCAGGAAATTTATCAACTTATTTGCTCAATATACCATTCAATTCAAGGCATCATGGTAAAGAACTTCCACATCTTCGGCAAAGGGATATCGTTCAGCGTTTCACCCACCATCCACAACGCCGGCTTCCAACACTATGGTCTTCCCTTTACCTACACAATTCACGAGTCCGACGGCATTGACGGAGCCGCTGCATTGATTTCAAGCGATTGTTTTGGCGGAGCGAGTGTCACAATGCCACACAAGCTCCAAGCCCACAAGTTCTGCAGCGAGCAAACCGAGACAGCTCAATTAATCGGCGCAATCAACACTCTCATCGTTAGCGGCAATGGCAGCGAGCGTACAATCACCGGCGATAACACAGATTGGTCTGGTCTGTATAGCATTGTGGCTGCACACTCGACAAAAACACAAAAGCAACCCAGCACCGGACTAGTGATCGGGGCCGGGGGCGCATCAAGAGCTGCACTCTACGCTCTGCACAAAGCTGGAGTAAAGCGCATTTACCTCGTGAACCGAACCTTGGCCACCGCCGAGAAAGTCAAAGATGATTTCAAGAATGTATTTGACATCAAGGTTGTCCCAAGTCTCCAATATCTTCCAGAGAAGCCGGAAGTCGTTATCGGTACTGTGCCCGCAGAAACGACTACAGAAGATCAGTTCTCCTCGTTGTTCGGGGATCGGGGTTTGTGTGTCGATATGTCGTACAAGCCGAGGCAGACACCGCTCTTGACGGCAGCACAGCAGAACCAGGGGTGGGATACGGTTACGGGTGTGGAGGTACTGCTCGCACAGGCATTCGACCAGTTTCTACTCTGGACGGGACTTGAGCCTCCGAGGGAGATTATGGCGGAGGCAATTGTGGTACTTGATAGAGAGCGGGCTACTATGGCTAAAGGTGGCAACCTTTAGATTTGCAATTCAATACGCCGATTCTGGAAATTTGACAGATATAATATGCAATTGCTAACACGAAATAATACACCGGTCAATTGGCGCTCGACACGAGGAATCATACTCAGATGATTGAATCATTTAGTTGGATAGATTGGGTATTCGGCTATTTATTCAATTGCTTTTGTGTCAATCGATGTTCCTCCCACACTGAGATTTCCCGAGGGAGCTGGATAACTCACGCTGTGTTTTCCATTCTGGCAATCCACAGATTGTCGAAGATCCAATTGGCTTGGGTCTTTGATAAATACATCGCCCTTGGGACATTCGATTACCCCAATCGCGGATTTCCTGCTCCAAGATCGGCAGGTTATGACAGTTTACTGGAAGCCATCCCGTGGATGTAGGCTGAATCAGTAGTGCAAGGACATTCAAAACCCAGAACTTGCTGTTGCTGCTTCTTCCGGGGCAGTTGAGGCTGCTGTCATAGGACCTTATTACCCTGTCGACAAATGGATGCAAGGGCCGAGTGATATCAGCAATTCGGAATAGGCCCGTAAGAAGTGGAGTGTCGAAGATTCTACCAGTATACTCATGCTCAGGTCTCAGCCCAGATCCTGTGTCTACGATGTGGTATGCCATCCCTCCAACGGAGTCTGAGTGGAGGTATAGACCCCAGTAGAACTCATTGGGCTCGGGTGCTTCCTGACAGGCTTGAAGAATGACATACAGTCCGCCGACTTTGAGATCTGCAAGAGACATTTGGAGATGATTGGCTGATGCTCGGGATCTTCAACGTTTGGCTTGTTGGCAGTTTGTTTAGTCTCCTTGGGCGTTGGGTAGGCACGAGTTGGGTAGCGCTCGTTCTATATTCACAATTACGGTGATTTCTTTAGAGTCAGGTACTTAAATCTCCCACAGATTGGATTTAACAAGTTGTGTTAATCGTCTCTGCTCATGTGCCCAGGCACTTGTACCCCCATGGCTTGTTGCACGTCGAGCGCGATTGGTAATGCCTTTGGTCCCAAGTCAAGTCAAGTGTGATTCGGTCTTTTTTTCTTAGCTGTTGAGTGATTCCGGGGTATCTGTCCGGCACCTTTTATCTCCTAGGCCAGCTACAATTCTGAGTTTAGATTTATCGATTGGTTGATATCAGCACAAAAGCACTCTACATGGATTGTTGTCTCAATTTCAAATTGCACTTGGCCGTTGGCATGACAGATGTGTACTGTCGATCTCTCCACAGTACTTTGTATGCAAGCCTGAGATTTGTTGGTTCTAAGGACTTATTTTGGCATGTATCACGTTTGTGTGACTTGGCAAGTAGATTCGTCACTAGATATTGGACAATGCCTACCAACAGTAATTCCTATCACATCGCTTCGTGCGGCTCATTATCGGTCTTCTCATTATCATCTCATCGTAGTTCTTGCTAAGCGCTGCTTCGAAACACAGTCCCTCGTACTACTTGCCGGATACTGACAGATGCATGACCAACAGAGTCATGATCAATCACAGACCGTGCGTCCGTCTGACAGATCATATCAGGATCAGCCCACATTGCAAATCAAACGGATGCAGCCTTACTGATTATCAAATCCTCACCTTCTAAGAATAATCTATGGAATACAATACCGAAATTTGAATGTTGACCAGCTAAATAATATCGGAATTTTATCTCGGCTCTTTTCCAACCTTGAGACATTTTGTTCGACACTCCTCTGTAGTCATGCACCTTCTAAGTTTGGCACAACCTTGGAAGGAATTGAGTTCCAGTCATCCATGGGAAGGAAAGAAACAGAGTCGCGCCTAGGTCAAGACAGGCATCGCGCCCGGGGAAGAACCGTGGACAAAAAAAAAAATGGCGAATGGCAATTCTTTTTCTTTTTCTTTTTCTGGTTGCTTTGACATCACTCTCAGAAGTCTATCATCGGTAAAGAGTCAAATAGTGTGGAAGTATGGCTGGTGAAGCATGACATAGCGATTACCTAGCCCGAGGTGATCCACGTAAATGTGACTCAGCACACATCTTGGGGGGCCGGATCCAAGTCTTAAGTCGCGGGGTTTGCGCCTGTCAGAGCTAATATAAGCAGTTCATAAGCAGCCGCCGACTTCATTGGGGCCTAAGAGAACATCGAAGAAGAGAAGTGTGGGAAATGGTACGGATCAAATTCCCGATATGCAGCTTTGGCATCTGTCAAAAAAAAACGGCGTGACTTGGATCTTGGTAAAAAATCAATTGATCGGCATCAAACGCTCCGATGATTTGTATATGATGGTTCCAAGAGTGGAACGTTGACGAGAATAAGAATTTTTCCGATGTATCCAATCATCAAAAGTGACAGAGGTGATTGTCTTGCGGCGGGATGATGCAATTATGCAAGGCGGGCGTCTACTGCAAGCCATCCAGGCGTATAAGAAAGCCAAGATGAATATGCGGTGTCGAGCAAACCATACAGACTTGTTATTTTGGTGCCCAACCTCAATCCTTTGAATTGTTATCTGAATGATTGCTTCGTGCATGTTATTTCTGAACCCAACCTACCTACCTAGGTAGGTGGTATTCTGCTCCATGCAATATAGGTGGACATTGGAGGCCAATGCCCTAAAAGCGCCAAAGAGGGACCCATCTCCACCGGGACGGTGGATCCACTCTGGAGGAACTGGGCTTCCTGACCTCTGTACGATGCTATACATGTTGTAGCCGATGGACGAGACAGGTTATGTGGTAATTGCGGACTTAGTGTAGATTGCGAGTAAAAGGAGAAGGCATAATATAATCTCCGCTATATATTGTCGTTAATTGCACGTTCCTCAATGGGGCCGTGGCCTAAGCCAATCAATGCCCCTGGTAGAGATACAATTTAGTAGCGTACCAAAGCCATATATTACCTCGGAATTGGAATGGAGAAAGGAGAAGTTGTTTACATATTTAGGGAGATACAAGGCGACAGCACTGCTATATAGATCAGGCTGCAATAGAAAAAGCAACAAAACAACACTGGAAATGTCATCAAAAGAAAAAAATAAAAATAAAAAGATAAAGTAGTTCGTAAATATAAAAGCAATCACCATATTGAATGGCGCGCATGTCCCCTTTTTCTGGCCCAATCACCATTTTCTCCCCACTATCTCCTGAATTTCCCTTCGCCCCTTCTTTCCCTTCTTCTTTTGATTCTGTTTTCTCTAGAAGGAGAAGAGAAAAAAAAAGAAACAAGATCTCTTTGTTTTTTTATTATTTTAAATCCTTTTGTTTACCCCAGACCTTGGGATTTGAACTAATAAAAATTCTCGAAGAACAACTTTGGAAGCTTCTCCGTGGTTTTCTCCATTTATTTCTTCCCGCCAGTTCCAACCTCCGAACTCTCCCCCTAATTCTCCCTTTGTTTTTTTTAGGACTTAAGGTGGATTTCGCTTTAAATTGTCCTGCGATTCCTTTCTGATCGACTTAATATCTCCTTTTTTCATCTTCTCTACTTGAAACTAACTCATAATGGCCTCAAAGGTGAGCATTGTTATCCATCCAATGTGCTCCCGAATCAGACCTGTGGACATTCCCAATAGCTAACCCCGTGTTTCTCAACAGTTCCTAAGAGAATACAAGCTGGTGGTTGTCGGCGGTGGTGGCGTCGGCAAGTCCTGCTTGACCATCCAGCTGATCCAGAGCCACTTCGTTGACGAGTACGATCCAACAATTGAAGGTGAGCACTTCGAAGCACCCCCCATTTCATCAACTGCGCGGATCGTGTCGCGTCTTCCCAGGGGTGTCGGACCCCAGTTGAACAACATAGCTGATTCGGAATATTCTTCCGCCTACAGATTCCTACCGCAAGCAGTGTGTGATCGATGATGAAGTCGCTTTGTTGGATGTCCTGGATACAGCAGGCCAGGAGGAATACTCGGCTATGCGAGAACAATACATGCGAACCGGCGAGGGATTCCTGCTCATCTACTCCATTACGTCGCGCCAATCCTTCGAAGAAATCATGACCTTCCAACAGCAAATCCTGCGCGTCAAGGACAAGGATTACTTCCCCATCATCGTTGTTGCGAACAAGTGCGATTTGGAAAAGGAGCGTGTGGTCTCCGAGCAGGGTATGTTTCCATCTCTACATCCAACCTCCCCTGAACTCTCCCTTTGAACTCTCTCCTTGGAACCTAAATCCGAATCCCAATTCTGTGGCTGACAATTCATCGCGTACAACAGAGGGCGAAGCGCTCGCCCGCCAATTCGGCTGCAAGTTCATCGAAACCTCCGCCAAGTCCCGCATCAACGTCGAGAACGCCTTCTACGACCTCGTCCGCGAGATCCGTCGCTACAACAAGGAGATGTCCTCGTACCCCTCCGGATCCGGCGCGTTCGGTGCCCGCGCACCAGAGGGCAAGATGGACGTGAGCGACCCGGGCGAGAGCGCTGGCTGCTGCTCGAAGTGCGTCATCATGTAAAAAAAATGCCAGCATACCAAATTGATCCGAATCGCTGCGATGCCCTCGAATCTCGAAACAACTCCGAATCCGAAATACGCAGCACATGTCGGGAAGAGTTACGGGAAGGATTTATATGTCCAAGGGCGTGGTGCACACCCTGCCCTTGGAAAAGTTGGATATCTTGTTTACCTTTGAATGGCCTTAATCTGCAACCCGCCACTCGAATCACAAATGGGAAATACGGAGAATGCAAAACGAAAGATTGCAACCTCGACAGAACAGAAAACAACCAAACCAGAAAAAAATACCAAAGAAGTGGCATTGTCGTTTGCGTTACGGATGTTTGTGGGTTCTTCAATGGACTCGCATTCTTGATGACTGCCGACCTTGACGCCCAACCTCGTCTCACGAAACATTTTGATTCCCCTTTTGTTGTCCGATTGCGTCTTTGTTTTAGTTCGTTTTTTATTGTCTTTTTACTGTTCAAGTCTTTGCGAAAGATCCCTGGTGTTTGTTATCTATCGCCTCTTATTACCATTATCCTTGTCGCTCCCACGAGACGACACGACTGTCAATATATGCTCTTTCATAGCAAGGTGGATTCCATGCGTTCCATCGTTGCGGCGTGTACCATTGTCTTTTGGGTTATCCTGGTATCTTGATTGTTCTATCTACTGTCGAATGCTCCGCGTATGAAGCTATGCCCGTCTATCCCCGGTGGTGCGATCTATTCAGTCTGATTCCTAAGGCTACTGCTTTGGTATATCAAGGTTCATATAATGAGCTGTTGACAAGGGTTCCCTTATTGCAAGGCTGCTATGACAGCTACTAGATCATGGGATGTTATTAATGCAGGAGTCACGGTTGTAGCTTCATGTGATAATCTAGCTTGGTCAATATTGAGATGTTTAACACTTTAACTGGAAATATACATCTCGAATGGGTATGCTCTATGTGCCGTGCGTATTTTAAGCATCGCAGTTTGCTCCCAAGATAACATATCAATAGACAAACTACTGGCTGTAAACATGGTCCGAGTCCGACGGAGGATCCAACTCATCCTCCTTGGCAACCAGCTTACCCTGAACATTTTCCTCAACCTCACTGGTCAAGGACTCCATGTAAGCCTTATCCGCGCCGACCAAAGTAACAGTATTACGCTTTTTACCCCAACGCGGATAGCTGCCAACCTTGATCCCCCGAGGCTCAACCTTAGCCGCCAGCTCAGTCAGGTACGGCGCCACCGCACTCTCAGGCAACGGCGTGCTGATCATCAAGCGGAACGTCCCCTTGCCTTCCGGGTCGGTCAAACGGGGGATAAGCAAGGGCTTCAAGCTCAGAAGCAGGCGCTCGAAGAGCCGCGGCACGCCGGGCAGGATGTGCACATTTCCGTTCACCACCGCGATCGGCACCCACAGGTCGTCGGCGACGAACACGGCCTGTGACTCGGCGGAGACCTTCGGGTCGAAGGGCAGCTCGACCATGCGCAGCTTGGCGGTGAGGCCCGGCGATGGTGTTTCCCAGTCGAAGTTGAGTTGCATGGGATGGGGCTTGGAGAGACGCTTCATGCGCTCGAAGGCCAGCTGATGCAATTCCAGCTTCAGGTTGAATGCCTTGGCGATCGCGGAGTATGTGATATCATCGTGTCTGTAAATGGGGCATATGTGTTAGCTGCGGGTTTGTATGAAGCATCGCGTTGCTTGCGCACTGTCGGCGTGGATGTGTTGCTTTGGATGCGGAGAAACTAGGGACGGGGTTGTACGCACGTGGGCCCAATGCCGCCGCTGGTGACTACGAAGTCATAGCGGGAGCTCATGCGTCGTACGGCTTCTATTATATCCTCTTCATCGTCGGGGATGACCTCGACTCGCTTCAGTTCGATGCCAAGCGAGAAGCAGAACTTGGCTAGGTAGGGCGAGTTGGTGTCGATGGTCTAAGGGTCGGTTGAGGTAATGTTAGAATCTTCGTTCTGCTCATGACGGAGCCTATGGATATCTCAAATTACCTTTCCACCCAGAACCTCATCGCCAATAATGAGGCATGCTGCCGTGTGGATGGGCTTCGGGTGCGCGGCTGATGTCATCGCGGACGGATCTGAACGAGGGGCCAGGGACGGGGTCGAGAAGGAGGGGCTGATTGGGCGAGAGGGACTGAATGGGCGTGAGAAGTGTCGCGTCAGTAGATTCAGTCGGTTGAGCATGAAGGTATAGGTGTAGGAGTAATTCGGGTCTGTTCGTTCAAAGCGCAGAGGAAGTGAAGTGGGGGAACAGGGACACTCCGCCCGCATTTCCATCGTCTTCACATTCCTACAGCCTTCTCCGTTTTTCAGATCGGACAAACCAGTATCATCTTTATTCAGTGCATTATTAGCACTAGACTCAGGGCTTTCGTTTACTTGACTTTTCTGCGTGTCCCATAGTTGACGTCCAAAATGGTGAGATGTCTCCCCGCACCAGGCATAGGCCATGCGAACTGCTCCCAAATTTCCCCCACCGAGGTGCTGACTTATGGTAGTCTGATTCACGACTATATTCGTTCTCGCCCGAGACCAAGGAGAAGCTGCGCAAGTTCCGTCTGGGCACATCGAGAGCCAAGGATGCGCAAGCTATCATCTGTATGGGTCCCTAAATCTGCGCTTTCCCCCATCTCCCATGCATCTCGACAGAAGCCGGGCTATATAGCACGTACATAGTGCCAGCCACAGCCATATCGGTATCCTTGCCTGTATCTCAAGCTGACAAGTGACGCATGATAGATATCATTGATGCAAAGACCCAGGAGATCCGGCCGCAAGACGATGAAATCTACTCCAAGATGGAAGATCTGGCCGATGATCTTCCCGAATCCTCACCACGTTTCATTCTCCTCAGCTACCCAATGACCACCGTAAGTTGTCTATCGAAAATACAGATATGACACACGTTGTGCTAAATGAGATGCACTCACAGAAAGACGGACGTCCCTCAGTCCCTTACGTTCTCCTCTACTGGCTCCCTGAAAACTGCAACCCGATGCAACGCATGTCGTATGCAAACGCAGTGGAGCTGATGCGCACCAGTGCCCAAGTCAACCGGGTGATTGAGGTGGAAGCCGATGAAGATATCATCGACATCAAGTCGAAGCTGACCGGGTCGGATTAAGCCGCCTGGGCTAGTCAATGCGTCTCTTGATTGGGGGAGCATTTTCGTCGGTGGATTGAGCATATACCCAAGGCGTGGGTTTTGTATAGAGGGCGTTTTGCTTTTGGTTTTTTTTGCGGATTGGCTGGATCCTATTGGCTTGTAAATGCCGCCCATGTACACACAGACACCCTATGCGGGTGTCGAATGTATTTCTGGAATTCGAAATCTGACATGCACTTGGCTGACTAGACCAACCTAATTTCCGGGATCTCAAGCTGGCGTCGATCACACAGGAGCATCGTCCCAAGAATGGAATTTGTGATCTATCAATCAGATGGTTTACAACGGTGCAGTTCGTACACCCGAGCTAGTGGTAGATCTCACGAGTTATGTACTCTCGGTAGTCCTGTTTTGTGTTTCCTAAAAGGGTGTGGCCAAGACCTGTCATTCGGGAATGCCGATACTCACCTAAGCTCAGCCGGCATACGTTTTAGTCGGTTGGCGCTGTATGGCCTAGGGCCTAAGGACAAAACGCTTGTAATGGGGTTTTGTTATCATTACCATCCCTCATTCACGAATAGCCAGTCCTCCTACCCAGAGGGGCGATGTGCCCTGCATCTCTTCAGCTAAGCCATCGATCGCCGCCAGCCGCAGATTAACACCCAGGCTAATCGATGCAACTAGACCTAGTGCTCACTAGGGAAGCAACCCAGGTATCCAGCACAAAATCTTTTCAATATCACACGACTTTTGGGGCCCGATGATCATCTTCGTAGCCCGTAATCCATACGCTCCATTGACTTCGCTGATCCCGGCATGTATGTAGCCGCTGAAAAAGATTCCGTGTCTTTTGATTGATACAATTGGTGGCTTGTCCTGTTTTCTTGCAACGTGTTGGATTGAAGTGGACATGCAACATATATGGCAGTGGTTGATTGGTCCGTCTGCAAATGTGATCGCCCACTACGAGATGCCCTTGCTCTCCACCGTTCACTAAACTCTGATTTTCCTGTTTAGCCGGAAGTTGGTCGGTTTGGTCTGTGCAGGTTGTGTGGTCTAGAGGTTCATCGTGAGACTAGTGTCTTGTCGAGTTGTGGTTTACTACACGTGAAAAGGTCAAGGATCCTTTTACAATGTGCGCGGTTTATAGATACATTGCTATTAGACCTTGAATTATCTTCCTAATAATTCAACATTGTACACCGTGTAATAATACTAATATCAATACAATTCATGCAGCCAACGGGATGGTACAAGAGGCCGAAATCCCGACAATGATTCGATATCTGGAATGGCGGTGGCAAAGCGGGCGTGTCATCCGTGTGTGGCTTTACCCCGGGGCCATTGCGCCGGGTCGAGTAGTAATGCACAGTACCACAGTGATATGGAGGTAGGTTATATAAAGGGGGTGGCATGATATGTATTTGTAGACAGGTTGGAAGAATACAGGGTTAATGTAATGTTGTAGAGTATCATTAGCATATATGAAGTGTAAAGTACTCTTGTAGGGAGATCAAAGGCTAATATTCTGGATTACGGTGTACAGGATACACTATACACTAGTTATACAGCATACAGTATATGTAGTATGTACGGAGTACCCATTTTTCCATTCTGTATATCCAATTGTGCAGGTGTATACTTTCCGTGCACATGGGAATGGGACGGGTCATTCATGCTTACTGCATGCAGAAGGCCCGCTGGGATAATCAAGTACAGGGAGTATTGCTGTTTCAGACACGATGTGCGATCGTATGTTCTCCCTAGGTATCTAGTAGATTGGCATCCAGACTACAACATACATATGTATATAAGAAGGATATCAAAATCAGTTACATGTTTTAATCTTGGTTAACTCGGGATTCACCACTGGGACCAGCGATCCGACCACCTCGGGGTCCACTCTCACCCGTCCCACATCCTCTGGGGTCCACTTTTTATATGAGGGAAATTTTAGGGAAATTCCTTTCCTAAGGGGCTGGCCCTGCTGGATTTTATAAGAATAATATTATATTATTATCTCAGGTTTCCCAGGTTTATAATCAATTATTAAGGCCCACTTATTATTGCAGGTTCAAAAATGACAAGGCTAAGAACAATTGACAGGCTAAAAAGCCCGTTGCGTTGAGGGGATAAAATTCGAAAATGGCATGATCAACGGTTGAGTTACGTCTGCAACTACTGCAGTAGTGCATACCGGGTCGAAGTCACTTTCAAATCTCCCTAGCACTTTTCTTTTCTTTTTATTTGATTTTCCTTGGGTTTCATCAGTTGCGGAGTACATCGTAAATCGTAAGACGAACTGCTCGTGTTTATACTTTTGTACTGCGCGCTTTGGGATCCCCGTGTCATGCATCATGCATAGTCTCTTCTAGTCCAATCGTCGGAGAGATACCCGTGTGTCAGAGGTCCTTTCCTTTGCCACCCTTGCTAGATGGATTCCGCATAGGCTTCTGGATTCTGCATGGACTTCTTCACAGTCCCAGTAACCGATAATCCAGTCAGCACTATAAGAGAGCACTACTGTAACGAAAAAGGAAAGATACCCAATAAATGCAAATAATGAGTTATACCAAGTACCCGTGCACATAGGGAGTACATCGTACATCGTACAAGTTATTATAGTACAAGGCCGTGAAGAAAAGACCCAAACTCTATCTGTAAACGAGTTCGGTATCTCCACGGCAGTTCAAATCCCGGTTTCAAAGGGAAGGGAACTCATTCGAACCTCCTGATCGACCACAATAACGAGGAAAATGAAAGACACGCTCATCACTCATGTGCCCCTCGACTAATTTTTCCCCCCGATCCGCTCCCACTGATAGACCAATAAGTTAGCTGTTTCTGGAAAGGCAGCCGGGATGGCGGGTGCTGCCGTAGGGAGACCAGCTGGAGCCAGATGTCACTCCTTCCCGGTGCCCCGGCCCACCCTTGGGCTCGAGACTTCATCGTATGCCACGCCATCGGTCGACCGCCGGGGACGGAAGAGTATATAAGTGTATCTTGTACTTTGTACTTTTGTACTCCGTACTAAGCGTGACTAAACACAATCGTTGCCCCGTGAAGGTAGTCCAAGATGGGACGTCTAGACGAACCAATGGCATGCCAAGAAACAGGGGGCACCATGTCTGATGTACGCCGGGAGCCAGTTAAATAGCACACTATTCTCGGATATAGTTGTTATGGAGAGAATCTCCTGAAGCCACAGAGTTTCGAGGCCAAAGCCATTTTGTTTTTTTCAAGGTGTCACCGGGTTGGAGGAGAAAGAGTGGGGATGCACATCAGAGACTAAATAGGAGATGTCGGAATTACGAGGGCTTTACCCAGTTCATCATATGCTCGGTACCTGATTGTCGGTATTTCGTTACAAGGGTTAGTATGGAGAAGTACTTTTGCCCATGTATTATCCACTATGCCCGGAGAAAAGGTCCTATACTTTGTAGTGAAAAAATCGAATAAAACTATAAAAATCAAATCCTTTTAAAAGCAAAAGGAATAAAATAATAAATCATTGAAATATTCAATAGCATCCCAGCCCATCCGAATCCACTGAACCACAGTATCGGAATCCCCACGTCTGAGCTTTGGACTTTTTATTTTATACAATTGTTATACAATACCTCTTTTGGTATTTTAGGTTTGATTCCTAATTCGATTTCTATAATAACTGGGTTGTCCCTACCTTTCCCTCCTGTCAACTTCTGCACGGAAATCCCACCTCCGGTCCACTTTGATATTCTTCACATTTGACATGTTTTGCGTGGAATGAGTCTCGACGCTTTGGATATCAGCAAAGCATTTGTTATTACATTCCAGTTCCATTGAATAATGTCTCAAGATGGTCGCCCCGAAGACAAGCCCGAGGGCTTCTCTAAATACCTTAAGCGTATGAAGACCGTCCTTCGCCCTCGGTCAATGTCCAAACGACAATCTATAACTCCTGGGGCAGCCGCTCCAGTTGAAACTACGTACGATATACAATATTCTTCTACTTCAACACTACATGCTGACTAGCATTGCCTAAATATAGTGCACCAAAGGCAACATCACCGGCACCAGCACCAGTACCAGTATCCGCACCAGTACCAGCGACAGCGCCAGCACCAGCCCAGGAGCTCAGCCCACCAGCTCCAGTCATGTTCACCAGCTACAGCTCGACCCAGCAGGAAAAGGCGCGCGCCCTCTTCGCCAAATACGGCCTGACCGTCGACACCAGCGACTGGAAGACACCCCCGGACCTCCAGCTAACCCGCGTAACGAAGCCAATCCGCATGCGAGTGCACCGTACCTGCCACCGCTGTGAAACAACCTTCGGTGCAGAGAAAGTATGCGTCAACTGCCAGCATACCCGCTGCACAAAGTGTCCCCGATACCCAACCGCCCGCAACAAGGATGGCGAACCGTCAACCCGCAAGCCCAAGAACCCAGAGGCCTACGTCTACCAACCCCGCCTATTCCCCAGGACCTCGCACCTCAAGCTCAGCACCACCAAGGAAATTTCTATCAAAATGCCGTCGCCCACCGGCGGCCAGGATTTCGTCCGTCGGCCGGTGCGCCAGCGTGTCCACCGCTACTGTCACGTCTGCACCTCGATCTTTACCCCCGGTTCCAAGGAATGCCCAAATTGCAGCCATGTACGCTGCAAGATATGCCCGCGGGACCCGGCTAAACTCGACAAATATCCTGATGGCTATGCGGGCGATGCTGATCCGCCCAAGCCCAGACCTGAGCGCACGTGGAAGAAACCTCGTCGCCGAGTCCATTATGAATGTCATGTCTGTGATACTTGGTTCCAAGGTAATGCGCAAACTTGTTCGAATTGTGGTCAGGCGAAGTGTGATGAAACTAGACGAATCCCGTACGTGTGATATCAACCCTACAGGATATATGGTTTGGAATTTCTTGCTAACATTCAATTTCTTTTCTTTGCAGACCTAAGAAAGTCAAACCAGAAACAAGCCCCGAGGTTCTCAGGAGCATTGAAGAGAAGTTAGCAGCTATGGCGCTTGAACAAACACCAGACATTGTTGAAGCGGCAGCTTGAGCTTGGAACATATATCGTTGTCAACCCGATTTATATTTACAGCCGACCAACACAATCCTTTATGACATCCCCCGTTTACTCCTACTGATTTTATCTCCTGCGCTATTCGTACTACCTCAAACTCGATCCTTTCCGATGAGAAAGCTTTGTTTATTTTTATATTCCGTGGCCCTACCAAGACAGAACATACATAACATACGCATATATTGGATGGCATTAACTTCTACGCATTGAAACGAACTCATTTCTCTGACCGGGGTCAGCTCCAGGACTCTGCACCGGAACTGAACTACCAACGCCTCTTTTCCCAATTTCTAGGTTACCACATATGTACCTGCGCGTGCGCCCCCGATACGGATCCCGATGATGTGTACATTTCCATGACGGCCGGGGGCGGACGTGCATATCGTATACTACGCAATACGTTGTAAACATATTGTCGGGTGGCTTGATTTACATATGTAAATATGGTAGTACAGTATTCAACTGTCAGAGTATGAAACTCGGCGGTAATGCCAAACAGTGACCTAAACCAGGAATTCTATTTCGCCACAAAAATAGACTATATCGCGCCCGGTTTCCATTTCCTGGGATAGCACACGTCATTCTACAGTACTTTGAATACAGACGAGACCCGAAAAAGAACGTTGCACCATACCCCTCTCCGTTCCCAACGGCGGTTATTCCTAACTCACGCGCTCTGATCCACATTAATAATTTCCTACGTCATGCTACACAGTGGGTACATGCATGTGCAATTGCCTCGTCGAAGTACATCGTGCATCGTGCCTACTTTTTGCCTTTTTTCGTTTATCTGACGCTTATTCCAATGATTCCAAATATATTCTAATGCCCTATTTCCCGGGCTAATATTCACCGTCAAATGATGTGGGTGGCATAGCGCCACGGAAGGTGAGCACAAACCGGAACTCTTCCGTGGGACGCATTTGTAGAAGAGTGATTTCGGCCGAAGAGGACGTACATCGTACCACATTTGAAACCTAAATACGGAATACTCCGTACAGTTCTATGAGTTTAGCGTTGTAAAAGTGACTTTGGAGCAGAGTGGGTAAAGTGGACAACACAGCCCGTGTGGTTCCGTTTGGACGGTCCGAGCCTTTTTATTTTATTTTTGTATATATAGATTGGACCCAATTGAGAATGCTACATGGCTTTGACAGCGGCAGCGGGGGATTACCGAGCATTTGGTACTCCGTGATTTTTTTTTTCACAATATACACAGTTTTGTTGCAAGGACTGTTTTCCCAGAACGGAGCACATTAAAAAGCCAAGTCAGGCCATAATACTGCATAGTGGGGCAAATAGGACGGAATATAGGGCGATGCTTATTGGCCTGGAAGAATCACCCATTGCTGCTGATATCTCGATTTCTGGGGCTTTGACTTCGCTCGACTGTTTCCTGTTGTAGTATGGATCGGTGTGGGCTGATGGGGTTGTGGGTTTGAAGGTTTGAAGGTTTTAAGAGGATTTCGTATTCGATGGTTTCTAAGATACCGAGTAGCTTATCCATTGATCAGACTAGTTCAAAATGGCCCGGTTCAAGATCGATATATGTTTTTTGCTTTTTCCCGCTTAATAAATGTACCATACCCCTGTCACCTATCCCAACAAAGTAATTCCGGAGATCCTCCGGTTGAACTACCAGCCACGGAGCAGCCGAGTATGTAAACTACTGCAGGGAACTGACTCATCAGGGCGTAAACCCAGAAGCCCGGAGACGGAAGGGTTACCCGCTGTCACAGCGCATTATCGCATAGAACATCCAGATTGTTGGGTCGCGGGGTTTGCATTTTCTCAAATCCCGAGGTCTACACACGGTCTACTTATGTGAGGGTTCGTTCAAAAGTACCTGAAATATGCACGGAGGATAATGCCGCCAATAAGTTAGGGGGAAAATGGTCGCTTCGGAGCAAGAGTGGATAACCCAGTTCCAGAGCGCTGGGAATTGAACGCTGGGGGAAACACGCCCGAAATGTGTTCTTTTTTTCCAAATTTTAATAGTGGCTGGGGGCAGGCTGGAATCCATTTCAACGGTCAACTAACCCAATCAAGAAGCTATTTTGGTCTTTTTGTTCTACTTTGCTCTACACCGTAGCGGGTGAAAATGCGCCAGCTGGCCGAGACCCGTCAGGCAAAAAACGCTGACTCGCTGTCTTCACTAGAAAATATGAAATAACAGAAGTTCTATAACAGTTTCTACAGTTCAAAGTATGTGACTGAATCTGGTAGATTGTGGATGATCAACAGAGGAAAAAAATGAGAGAACAGGTTGTCATGTTGGAGCAAACGTTTGCCCAGTGCCAGCCTTGCGTCAATATGTAGCCAATTCAATGAGGTTAGATCCTCTACTACATCTAGATCTTGGCACGTCAATATCCACGATGTCGGATTGCACTAGTATACTATTTTCTAGTTTAGGGAGAATGTGTAATGTGCCACGTTGCATATCATATTAGTACCGAAGAGGATACTCTGTAACTACTCCGTACTCTATTTAGAGGCATCATCTTTTATTTCCACCCGTGGACAATATCGCTGAAATACAACGTATGACGAATACAAACGCTGCGGTCTTGGGGGAGAGTCTAGATTCTCTTCACCGAATTGAACTGTCTTTACCAAAGTACCGGGTTGAAGAATCGGACCTGTCATGCCTTCTGGGAATTCTAACCGCCCGTTGGAAGGATATATTTTCCTTAATCTACTTAAAGTTTGTCTTCATGGGTCAGGAGGCTAATTTAGAGTAAACACTCTTGCCCAAAGGAGTGTAGTAGAAAGTACGGAGTACTCCGTACATCTCTTGTGCTTGGTGGATTCGATTGTTTCTGCTAGCTTTGCCCCTTGTCGAGGCTATCTTTCATGGCTTTATTTCTTTTTATTTTGATTAGAAATCTCCATCGATGGAAGATCGACTAATGAAAAAATTGACTACCTTAAATTTAGGGGGTCTGAGATATACAAATAGTCGCAACTAAAAACAATACTCTGACTAGAATGGGTACCTTCCCGATCTGGACAACTTAGGAGTGAAGTCATGGGTGTCGTCTTCCATAGTTGTCCGTATTAGTTCTAACATCCACAAATGGTCAGACTGTTCTATATCTGCATACCACGACTATAGATCGTAGGAATGACCGTCTCCCCTTTTCTAACGAGGTACGTACACTAACACGTCACTTGCAAACCCATTCAACTCCAAGTCGGAACCCCATTCCAAGGTTCCGCATATTGATTAATCACAACATACCGTTAATGTAATGCTAAACCTTGATCCTCCGACTTAGTTGCTCCGTCCCTGCAGACTTCTCAAAATCAAGATCATTAACACGGTCCACCCGACGACCCAAAGCCCGCCGAATAATCCAGTCCTTGCTATTGATTTCCTCTTCACTCTCACCATCTTCCATAAGAGGAATCCGATTAGATCCCTCCAACCGACGCAACATCACACTATCCTCAGGTCGTGCAAAGTACACGAGACTGTACCGCGTCGACTCAGCCTGGAGCCCCGGCGGTGCCACAACCCGGTGAATGTTCGACCGAAACAGCCCATTCGTAAACTTGACCATTGCATCCCCAAGGTTTACAATAGCATGACCAGGAAGTGGTCTGACATAGACCCATTCGGCATCAGCACCGGGCGGTAGCACTTGCAGTCCCCCCAGTCGGTTGAAAAGAACCGTCACGCTTCCAAAGTCGGTGTGCTGGCCCAGCGCGGTGCGTCTGTCGTCTACTGGCTGTGGTGGGGCTTTGACGAACCGCACCTGGTCACCGCTTACCGCTTGTTGTCGGTGTAGATTGGATAACGTGTCTTTTGGTAGGGCAAGTTGATCGTTCAGGATGTCCAGAATTAGGGTTACGATTGCATGTGATCCTTGCATGAATGATCCCAGTCGGGCTCGGCTTTTATTCAGGGTCTCTGGTGCTGGCAGAGGATCACTGACGCCTAAAATATCGTCTTTGGAAACCTGCAGATGGTTGCGTCAGCTGTTGTGAAGGTCCAAGTGGATGTGCTTAGTACTGACGTACATTGTAGAACTCGTTCCGGTCCAGATTCCCCTGCTTGTCAACCACCGCAGCTCCCTGCGCTTTGTATCCAAAGTAAGAATTCTGTCCGCTGAAATCATACTGTTGTTTCTCCTCAAGACTCAGCTCAAATAGTCTCTCGCCGACTTGGAACAGATTATCTGCGTCGCCGAGGAGTGATGAGCCTTGCTCTGAGTCGGTTAAATCGAGATAGAAGAATCCAATATCGGTAGATGCTTGGAACAGTCTTTCATGCTCTGTATGGTCACCTGCTAGCAGCTTTCCGGACGATAGTCGAAGCAGGGGTGCTGTAGAGACGTCATCTGGGAAGGGTGCAAGCCCTGGGAAGTTGTTGAGGATATCCTTTTTATCGGTCTGAGACTGCATGTTGGTATGAGCAAGATCAGGGAATCAATAGTAGACAATAACAATAACTATCTCAAAGTGTTTATGCAGATGTTGTGTTACACTTTTAATCCGCGGGTGGTGGCCTGCAATATATTGACCTCAAAGATGGTATATGCGGGGAAGCATCGAAGAGCCGAGGGACGATCTAAGCCCAATTACTGAGAAAGTGTAATATCCGAGAAGAGATCTGAATGTAGAAAATAGAAAACCAGACTTGGACCATGTTCAAATAATGTACAGAAAGTTGTTATACCTGTGATCTATACATGGCCTGCCTGCCTATCTTATCGGTGTGTGACATCAAATAATTTTTCTCCAACCTCCAACTTCCACGAACCCCCAACTCCCAGTCTACCATCCCCTGGAAAGCCACACCAACATCCAAGATAACACAAAATGGCCTCCTCGCCAGCGCCAAAAACCCACATTGCGCACACCCTTCTCTCACGCGCCCACTCCCCAGACAGCGCAACGCAACAATTCACCGAGCGCATCAAACAAAAACCACTCTTCCTCCGCGCAACCTCCCCCTCAGCATCCGACAACCGCTCCCGGCGCCGCCTCCACCGCCTACGCAAGAAAGAATACTTCCTCCGACACCAGAAGCCGCAACCGCTGTCAGCGCGCGAAAAGCGCAAGTCAGGGCTGTACGACCTACCCAAGGAAGAATGCAAATACGCTATTTTTAAGGGCCTTCATGAGCTGTGGGTTGGGTATATGCAAGAGATCTTGGATGTGAAGGCCGGACCACGTGGCCATGTTTCGCCGGCGTCGCATGGAAGTAAGCTTGTCAGTGCCGATTACCATGGGGCTGAGGTCGAGGTTGTTAGGAGTGGGTGTGCTGGGAGGGTTGGTGCTAAGGGGATTGTGGTGCGGGATACGAAGTTTACATTCGTCATTGTTACTGAGAAGGATGAGATGAAGAGTGAGTTTTGACTTGTGGAGTGGGAGGTGCGTTACTGGGGTTATTTGCTGACTTGGTTCTGTTTGTACAGCTATACCGAAGGAGCACACTATCTTCCGGTTCACAGTGCCTGTGCCAGCGCCGTCTGAGGGCGTGCAGGATACGCTGACTCAATCTGATGCAAAAGCTCCCATGCCGTTGGTTTTCGAGCTGCATGGAAACCAGTTCGAGAATAGGCCTGTGGACAGAGCTAATAAGAAGTTCAAGTGGAGGAATATCGATTACATTTAAGATGGCAGTCATTCTGTCTGATTCTTGTCAATTTACTACTGATGGGATTGACTACTCAACTGTGAAGTGGCCTCGAGCGTTGCAAGTGCGCTCCTGCCATAAAATCCGATACCTGTGTTCCAGACTGCTGAGAGTCTTTGAGATTCAAGCTTTATGCCCCTGCTTTGTGGAGGGACGCCAGTGTTCTATGAAGCTGGATTCATTCTTGTCCCATCAAGCCCACTAAATGATACCACAGTGTGACATCACAGTGCGCAATGTGGCACCCCAATGTGGAAGGCACACATCCCACACGACAAAGGAAAGAGCGCCGAGCACAATATTCAGCTCGAACAGCCCTTGGAGCTACCAGTAAGGACGATCAATTGGAATAATGATGTTTATGAAGAAATCCTACTCCATCAGTTGGCTAGATATGTCTGTCTAACAGGCGAAATATACATTTACAACTGCGACATGATACTAAAGATTTACCACGATAATCAGTGTAATATGTAAATGTTTATTTTGTTTGATGAAGAGTTTTCTGCGAATGGCATCATATGCAATTCCGAGTTGGGCAATGCATGGGTAGACTAGAGACATGACGACCCTTCTTAACCACATGCTGTTTGCCCTCCCAAGCCTCCGACCTGAGTCGCTAGAAGGCGAGGTCATGGTAGACCACCTTCGGGGCGGGGATATCATCTGTATCTTTGTTGATCGGGGATGATCCAAATCATCAGTGATGTGTTTCTTCCCTGGATTCAATAAAACCAGACACAGTAGAAAGTCGTGCATCTGGTTCGAGGAATCCGAAGACAGGCAAGGACGACCCGGTAGGGTGGTGCATGAGCCATGGAACCCTTGCAAGGGGCAAATCAAAGCCATAAGCCTGATGGATGGAAAATCAAAACAAATGAAGAATATGAAATCCTCCACATCCTTTATCCCTCACATTCCAGCCCATTCAAGACTGAAAGCCCGCACAGTATCCACACGATCAGCCTCTGAATCGACCTCATCGATTCCCTTTTGTGCTCCGCCGATCAAGAAACCCTTCTTCACACCAGTGCCCAGTCTGCCGCCGAGAACGAGATCCATTATATCCATATTTTGGTCCCAGTCGTAGGACACCACGAGGAAGTGCGAGTGGAAGCGCAGCGGATCACCCGGGTAGGCCATGTACTGGCACCCGAAGCGCAGGCCAGGAGAGAGGAAGTATCCTTTGGAGTGGAGGTGGGCGAAGAGAGGATATGAGGGTGGCACCGCGGGTGCTGAAAGGTAGCTCGATGGTAGAGGGGTGGGAAGAGGCGGGTAAGATGTTGCGGGGGTAATGGCCATTGCGCCCTGAGGGGGTGTGCTCGTCGAGGCGGTGGACGGAAGTGATGAGCATTCCTCTGCGTTGAAGAGGTCAACGATGGCAGCGTTCTTTGGCGATGGGGTGGAAGTGGCCTCCTCAGGAGCCGTAGGTGTCTGGGCGGCAGCAGCATTGGCTTTGGCCTTCGCGTTTGCTTTCTTTTCTTCTATTTTCTTCAAGGTCTGTTCCCGGTTACGCTCCTTGCGATCCAATTGGATACGAGAGACGTGCAGGCCCTGGGATTCGAGGTCGCGGAGGTACCGTCTGCGATCCTCTTCTAAGAGGGTGTTCATGCCGTCGTGTGCCTTGGCTTCGTCTACGATGCAAGCTACACCCTTGTCCACTAACAGCCGTGCCTCCTCGGGCATCAGCTGCAGAGGGAGACCCAGGAAGACATTCTGCTGGGGGATCTGGGGCAGTGTCCCGATGAGCACACCGCAGATGTGATGCTCACGTCGCAGGTATGTCACGGCGTCAATTGAGAACAACAGGTATCTACCGGATACATAGGAGATCGGAATGGGAAGGTCTGGTTGGAAGTCCATTTTTTCTTTCTGATTTGAGATTTGTGGAATTTTTTTTTTTCAATGATTCTGTGGCAAGGACAGTTAGCGCTTGTCCAATATGCAAAGATGCAGGTAGCCAGCAAGGTAAATTTGGGTATCGCAATTCATTTTCCAGTACGTTTCTCAGCAAGCACTCAGTGACGTATCAAAGAGCTTCAGGGGATTGACAGATTGTATTTAAATAATCATGCGAAGTGGGGGTGGGAGAGATGAGGGTGAAGCTTACCATTAAAGAAGTATTAGAGTGTCGAGAACATAACCGAACACCCAGTATTGCCTTTGGATTTGACCAGCAAAGCCAGGGTAGATTGGAGAGAGAAGAGAAGAAGAGAAGAGCAAAAAAAAAAAGAAAAGGAAAAGCTGAGCTTATACGCTAGCCCCATTTAGGAATAGTCATCTTGGCAAGCGAACTGCTGAGCATCGCTGTTGTGTTTATCATCATCTTCATTGGCATTCGTTGAGTATTGTATATTTCTTTTTTATACTGAGGCATCATGGGTTTCCTACTACTGTTGTTCCTGGTATTCTTTGCACCCCTGATACTCTTTGTTGGTCAGTATCGCGCAGCATCCCGAGGTCCTTTCTTACTCCCGACCGCATTACTAACACCGAACAGCATGGCTTGCAGCTTCATCCTGCCTGGGGAATCGCCTCCGTTCTGTGCGACCAGGATTGGATGGATACGGAGCGAGCTACCTCCGTACAATGGCCAATTCAGGCCCTGCTATGTCGGAGCAGATCGAGATGGACGATATGCTAGCAGAACCAGGGACCCAACGACACTTCGAGGAGGACGATTGAGTCTAGGAAATCACACCAATCATCGAGCGTCTTAGAATTCAAGATCCGATTTCTTGGGCATTCCGCCTGGAGCCGACGCATCTTGCGCTTCTGTGTCTCCTTCGGCCGGTGGGAGACTGAACGGTTTAATCTCGAATCGCCGGCGGCTCAGAATAAATGCCCAATCCTCTCCAACATTCTGATCGCTTCCACCGCCACGCTCATGCAACACTGGAAGCCGATGCGTCTTGAGCATACCCTGCGGTGGTTCTTCTTGTGAGGTTGCCGCTCCCGAGGTAGCCATGGCATCCGCAGAGTGCGGGAAGGGACAAAGCTCAATGACGCCGTCACTGAGCAGTTCGATCCAGCGAACCAGCCCCGATGAGCGGGGATAGAGAGACAGAGGCATGGTAATCATTGCGGTCACGCGGGTGCTGTGCGCACTCATCAGCGCCTTAAGGGCGTGGAAGAATTGGAGAACATGTTCGGGTTGGCAGGCGTTCGGCGGATAAATTGTGGGGTTGAGCAGAGAAGGAATGACGATACGGTGGATTGTATTGGCGGCGCTGGATGTGATTGCGGTTTGGAGTCGTTTGAAGATAGCGAGGAATGGTGACTCTTTTGAGGGCATAAGTGGGATGAAGGTCATGTTTGTGATAGACGGATGGGTGAGACGCTTCGTGAGATCGAAGGCATGACAGAAAGCGGGCGCTTCTTTTGCTGCTGTATCCTGTTCCCCAGGATTAGTAGGGGCTATATTGATCAGCATATTGAAGCTAGAAGCAATGTTTTGTTTCAATACTCACCACCTCGCGAACCAGCGACTGCCCCAAACTCGCCCAATCGCTCGTATCGCCATGCAATTTTCATGCGATCATCCTTGCGCCTGTCGGATCTCTTCTCGTCCAGTGACTCTACCGAGCCGATCAGGCCAGGCAAACTTCGGCCCCATTGCTCTGGCACTCCAACCACGTGAACCTTCTGCTCTTGGATTACGCCCTCTGCCGCATAGTAACGCAGCAATGCGCCTGCAAAATCTGTAGTTCCGTTTTCTTCAACCAACAGTAGTTTTCCCATTGGAAGCCCTGCATGGCCTGCAAGAAGATTATCTAGAGAGCGAGTCCCTGTCGAGGTTGTTGGCCGTCCATCATCGGGGGAGGGGCGAATGCCCGGCGTGCTTTCTGGCGCAGCGGGCTGTGCGGTAGCATTGGGAACAGCATTGCGGTCAACTCCAGGAGAAAGACCGATGTTTCGCTTGCGAAAGGACATGGCGGAGAATTTCAAATCAAGTAAAAAAAAATACCCCAGTAAAGCTACAAGGAGCTGATGTCAAACCAACGAAATCGTTATCGGCGGGACCAAAAGGCGGCAGAAAAAAAAGCTTCAGTTCTCCGATCAACCTCTCCACCTCCGACTCCAACTCTTCTCTTCACCACTCTCGCACCACCAACTAGCCATTGTGGGCCTTTAAACGTACGATAACTTGTGTGCGATAATACGCGCATACTCCGCTCTACCAAAATCCCCATCTATAGACCGAAAATCCGGTCGCAACCTTCATCATGTCCGACCCGCTCCTCTTCGAAGATACCTTCACGATCACCTCGATCAACGCCCAGAAGTATGACCGCGTCTCCCGTCTTACTTGCAACTCGAACGATGCCTCCCTTACTTTCACCCTGGATGTGAACACTGAGCTGTACCCATGCGCCGTCGGCGAGTCGCTGTCCCTCGCTCTGGCCTCGACTCTCTCTCTTGACGGCAAGGAGGACACCCGCGCCAGCTGGAGGGAGGTCAGCATGGGTGATCAGACCCTGGCGGATGACTACGATTATGTTTGCCACGGCAAGGTATACCGCTTTGAGGAGGGTGCCACTAAGGATACTATGTGAGTTTCGTTACTGGTGTGTTGGTTCTTGCGGAAACTAACGCTTACTTTTTCAGGGCTGTCTTTGTGTCCTTTGGAGGCCTGCTGCTCTACCTGGAGGGTCCCTACAAGAAGCTTGCTCCGTTGAGAATCGATCACGTGTACTTGCTGCTTAAGAAATAAGCTTGTCGTTGTTGGAACTCTCTTTTTTTGCTTACGACCTTGGCATAGGATGAGATGGATCTTGGATTGATCTTGAGGCAAAGCCCAAATGGGGGAAAAGTCGGTGTATTTAAGCCGGACCGATGTTCATATCGTTCTTATGGGGTGCAGCGCAGGCGTTCTTTGCATTTTGATTTGGGAATACCAATAGATTATCATAACAAACATGATTTTCATGGGATCAATGAGATGAACCTTGACCGTTCGATAACTAAAATGCGTCCCGGGTGGGTTGACTCTGTATAGAGCTGTAATGGCTGATGTAGCTGCACCGTATGCCTTGATCTGTTTCCTGGCTGTGCCTTCAAGACTCAAAATCCCCGTTCCGACTCTCGTGGCTTATTTTGACTCTTGTTCGCACTTATAATAGATGGCAGTGCGGTTGTCGCCGTGTTTCCATCGAATCATTTGCTATATTGGGTAGCAAGTCTTACAAAAGACTGCATTGATTGCGCAAATGGAAAAGGAAGCCACGCGAATGCAGATTTAGATGCAAAGTTAAGTTGATAGATCTTATGTTCACAATATGCAACCTATGTCTCAGGTTATCAAACAAATAATCTACCGCACGCAATGCGAAGCAGTCGGGTACTCCAAGCGACGATGCAACCTAGCAACGATCTGCAAGAAATCAGGCTCATTCTCCGGCGTCAGCAGCCCATGCCTCACAAAGAAATCAATCATGATATTAGCACAATTGGGCTTGAACTCGCCACGCGCCAAAGCCGTCCGCACCTCCGGAATCGACAGCAATTTGAATTCCTCGACCTCATTATCACCAGGTTTCGGAATAGTCTCAGCATCAAGCTTAAGATCGTATATATACTCAACCTCAGGCTGAATGAGGCCCGTCTCGCCGCCCGCACGCACATCCCGCACATGCGAGTACGTAACACAACCCGCAGAGAGAGTCGCAGCGCGCACCGCCGCCTCAGGCAAGGATGCCTCTTCCATAGCTTCGCGGACGATACACTCAAACGGCGTCTCGCCGGTGCACATGCCGCCGGCGACGGTGTTATCAAGGAGGCTTGGGTAGGTTTGCTTGTTCTTTGCGCGGCGCGGTACCCAGATCTTGATGCCGGATTCATCCTGCACGTAGCCTGTTAGATGGGCGCCGTAGGAGACGATGCCGAAGAGCGGGGTTGCGGCGCGCTCCATCTCGAGGAGGAATTCTCCGCCCGGGCCGTAGACTGCGTAGTTCTCATTGCGCCAGCCTTGCAGAACTTCGAATTTGGCTTGTTTCACGGCTTCGGCTATGTCTGCTGCGACGATCTTGCTCCGGTGTGCGGGGGTGGCTCCTGCGGGTGTCACTAGCGTCACGGTCTGCGCGGTTGAGTCGATGGCCCAGCTTTGTGCTGACCAGGGGAATTTCTCGACGACTGCATTTAGGATGTAGCCGAGTGTACAATCATATCCGGATACTTTGAATGCATGGTAGTTGTTCAGGTTCTCCGTGTATGCGGCGCGATCATCCTCGTAGTAGGGGAAACTGCGGGGTGTAAGACGAAAACGCGAGTGGAGGGAGGAATCGATTTGGGACAGCTTTACTTATCGCATTCGCCGACGAGTTCCAGATTGGATTTGCCCATGATGACTTCTGAATGCAGAAACTGATCCCAATTGTGAAGTAGAAGTCAAAAGTTTATATACCGAACCTTTGTTTAGCCAAGCCAAACCCTTATCGACCGCCGATAAGGGCAGCCCCTCTTATGTCATTTCATCATCGAAAAAAAGGACAAAGAGAAGCTTGAAGAAGATTGAAGAACTAGAATAAAGAATCTTGATCGCAGCTCACCTTGCCAATCTTCACCAGCTACTCAAGCTACCTCCAACTCCTCCAACCCTCACCACCAACACACACCATGTTCTCCGTCGTGGTCCCAGGCCGCCCGTGCCTAACAGATATCATCGCAATAGACAGCCAACCGAACGGGCAAGCAACCAAATTCGCCTTCACAATCCCACTCAGCGCATCTCTCAGCGATATAGTCGTCTTCTTCCTACCAGGAACAACCCTCCCACCAAACACCGGCGCCGCAATCTACGCCCAACTCCCAGACCCGAACACCGGCCACCCCTCCGACTTCCGCTTCATCGGCGCATTAGCAAACGAAAAGCCCTCAGGCATCTTCACCGTACGCCCACCGGGGGGTGCAGTGCACCGCTCAGAAGCCGAGGAAGAAGACGACATGCTCGACGAGGGCGGCACCAGCAGCAATGCTGCAACGGGCGTCCTGACACTGGGAATTTCGATCGAAGAAGCGCAGAATATCGCGCCGCAGCTTGCTGCTCTGGAAGCGGAGCGCCCCTCGGGTCAGACGTCAATGGCGCTGGTTCCGCAGGCTGCGAGCCAGAGACAGGTCTCGACGAAGGTGCTGGCGCAGCGCATTATAGGAAACGCGTTTAATTTCCTCGCGAGCTTTGCGGAAAATGACAAGGGACAGGATGTTGTGCCGCTGAAGAGCTTCCATAATTGGTGGGCGAAGTTTGAGCGTCGCATTGAGGCTGATCCTACGTTTTTGGAGCGCGAGGATCCTAATGCTAATTAATGCGTGATCCGTGGGACCTCTGCTCTGTAGTATTGAGCATTGGATTGGCTGATCTTTAGTTGGTTGGCTAGTGCTTCTTTTCAGATTGCATTTGCTCTCGACGAGCTCTCAGCGGGTGTGCAGCAAGGAGTACATGAGATCTCTTGCATGTATTGGTTAACGAGTCTCTTTTTGTGATGTGTGACGATATTCTGCTTTTTCTCTGACCTACTGGAGGAGCTCATGTATTAAAAGGTACTATTTTAGCTCTTTATAGATAATAAGACATTTGGAAAAGCTGAAAATGTACTTCCACTCCCATCGAAATATAAAATATGAAATATGCACGCATTTGTACTTATATCATCTATGTACTCATCGGAAGAAAGTTATATATACAATCCTGGACCATGTCAGGTCTTTCCCACGTAGAATGAAAAGAAACATGGACATAACAAATCCCATAAAACACCAGTTCCAATCCCTCGATGCATTTAACCTCGCGCCAGCCATAACGTGAAAAGAAAAGCAAACCAAAAAGGAAAAAAAAAACAAAGAGAAAGAGATCAGCATGCAGTTGATCCACGCGAAATATTCGGCAACGACGCATCAGGCCTCAACCGTATACCCGGTGCATAGCAAAGACTATACAACTCATCGACATAAGTTGCAGGCGTAGTCTCACCACCGCCGGCAATAACCACCCTCGAGTCCCGGGTAAGATTATTCTGGTTTGACTGCTCATGAATGTGTGTGAAATCAACGCGAACCTCCTTGCGAACGGTGATATCCCGCAACGCAGTCGCAGTATGATCCACAATCGACTCCTGGGAGTGTTGTGAGCCGGCGCCCGAGTTCAAAGTCGGCGAGCTCTTGCGCGACGACCACAGACGCAGAATGGCCATTTTAGCCGTTGAGGCGAGATCGGTCTCACTAGAGGTCGAGCCCGAGCGCACGTCTGTGCAGAAGAGTTCTTGGCCCAGTTCGCGAGCGAAGTCATCACGGTCGGTGAGGGCTTCGTTTACTTGTTGCTGGACGCGGAAGAGACGGAAGGGTGTGAAGGTGTAGTCAGGGTTGGAGACTTGAGTATCGAGTGTGCCGACGACGCAGAAGGCTAGGAGGGTGCAGGTGTTTTGTATGGCTGTTTCGGGGTTGGAGGGGCTGCTGCGGCAGGGGGCTGTTAATGGGCGGGAGGACAGTTGCGCTGCTGCGCGCATGTCTTCCGGGATAGTTTTTGAGAGGGAGATGATTGCTTTGATGAGGTGGGCGCGGAAGTCAGATAGGTTGGGGAAGGCTTGTGCTGCACCAGCTGATTGGAGGTATCGCAGACATATGTCCATGGACCAGCCTTCCATGCGGGAGATGAGTTCTAGGTGGTGGACGTGGAGTTGTTTCATTGGAAGGGTTGCAGATGGGAGGGGGTTGCCGACGCCCTTTGCGGTGAGGATCTCGAAGTGATCGTGGATTGTTGGGCGCATCATGAAGGAGACGAGGTGTACTCCCTCGTCGAAGCCACGATTTGAGCTTGCGTAATCGCGCATATCGCGGAGGGAATCGGCTAGGTTTGCTTCGGGAACGTGGATGCGTCGGGAAAGCATTCCTGTGACATGCTCGATGGTTGCGAACCGGAATCCCTGTGATCCCAGGCGTGCTGCTTCATGTTTCTGTAGCTGGCGAACAGTGAACATCATTTGGCCCTTGCCAGTTCGGAGGGACGAGCGGCCCATGGCCCAAGAAAGTCGGGAGATGGGGATAGCAGTAGAGATAACATCGTCATAGAGTGTACCTAGGTCCTGGAGAGGCAGATTAAGTTGATCTGAGAGCTCTTGGGCTGTGACACAGAAGAGTTGCTTGAACAAGGTATCAAAGTCAGTTTGCAACTCCGTATCCTTGTCCATAAACACTCCTCGGGATAGCATGTGTTTCTCGATGGCGCTTTCTTCGGAATTAAGGCGGTTTCGCATAAAGGGAACCAAATCTTTCACGACGGGCCAGTTCCGAGTTGCCCTAAACGCCCAAAGGAACGTAGGGTGAGTGCGCGTGAGGTCGTCATCTTTGAATGTCTAGTTCACAATTGGTTAGTCAAGACTCCATATAATCTGGTGGCAAAGAAACATACCCGTCCGATATAATGATCAACAATCTTCCTCGTAGGAAGCATAGCCTGCGTCGTAACCATGATTCGTCCAGTGGGATCAAAATAGGCACAGGCGAGAACAAGCTGATGGGCACGTGTCGTCGACTTTCTGCGATTTCGCCCAGCAATAATAGCGCACATCGACAACACCACACATGCAACACAGGCCTAGAGAGCTGTCAGTCTCCAACTTCCCATACCTTGGAAGAAATTTCAAGCATACCAGAACAGTGCAGACAATAACAACTTGACTCCTCGACAACTGAGTTCCCTTCATGATCATGCGGTGATCCCGATAGATTGTTCCAACAGCCGCAGTCCAATGCATACCCGAGACAGCACCCGCCAATAAGCAAGCACAGATTCCTCGTCTCCACCAGCTATCAGTCCAAGAAGCTCTCCAGCGGAAGAAGATGCCTAGGGCAGCAGTACTGGAGAAAATAGCAATGACCGCCGAGCCCACGACGTTGGCGACATGATAGGAGCACCTATAGTTCGAGATTCCGAGTTGACCGATGTAGTGCATACCGCAGACAGAGCTACCAGTGAGCAAGCCTCCGATGAGGATGCGAATATAGCCTGCCTTCTCCTCGACACCCACAGCGTAGAAGGCAAATAGCAGTACTACCACGGGGAGTACGAAGGAGGTACCCGTGAAGGCGACATTATACATGGCTTGCACATCTTCCTCACCTTCGCCCAGGACGATGGCACGATTGCCGATGAAGTGCATACACCAAATTCCTATGCCGCCCATTGTGATCGATGAGGTTAGGAGAAGGTACCTTTTAGTTTTTTTTGTTTGATTAGTTACATATCCAATGCTAGAGTTGATAGGATAACGTTTTAAGGCATACCAGTTGTATAGACCAGACCTCGATGTCCGCCGGTGAAGAAGCTCCAATGTGGTTGCGCAACCCATTGCACTAATCACAAAAGAGAGGACTATGTACCCCGCCAGGTATGTGACACGCACCAGCGGTTCATGGTCTGTCGTCGACATTGTGAAAGAAAGAGAAAAATAGGTTTTTGTATTTCGTTACTCGCACATTGGCGAGTAGGTCGTATAGTCGGAGGGGTGGGTGCGATAGTCGAAGACGACTGTTCTAATCAACATAAACGTGACAACATGGAGAGATTGGTTTTTAGTATAAGTGTGGAGAGCAAAAAAAAAGATATAAAAGATCACAAATTCCAAATCCATGGAACAGGGCTAGAGGTAAACATCTTATATCACCAGGGTACATCAGCCAGCCCAGGCGCCCCTCTAGCCGCATATTATAGCTCCACGGTACAGCAAAATCCTCCGAGTCCACGTTAACAAATGAATTGACGTGTACCGCATGGAGCCCTGATCCGATGTAGACATGAGCTCCACCGAAAGGGCCATGCATTGGCCTCCAGGTGACCCCCCAATGCCCACAACTCGCGTGGCATACATCGAAACACAAAAAAGAAATCAAGAAAGTGAGTGCCGAGGCCCCGAACCTGGTAAAGTTCGGACTAATTAATCTAAGCCAATAGTATGAATTAAACAACAGGGATCCCAAGGCCCCAGCGCTTTAGATTTGGTGGATGTGGTATTGCAACCGATGCCTTCATCCTATGTTGATTCGCTCGGTGAGATCTAGATCGGATCGGTGCGGACAAGGAACTGCGGGGGCAGAATGACTTTTTAGACGTATCAGGGCCCTTGATACAACGCCAATGGCCCGTGAGAATCGGACTTTAGTGTTGATTAATTTCCTGATATACTTTTCTGTGAATGGGTTTGAGACAACTCCGATAATGGGGTTGTATCAACCATGGAAACTAGATTTCCTAGACGGAGGTCTCCGACATTGTTTTTTCTTTGTACTCCATATAATATAAAGAATTGTGGTTTAGTCTTCGATTTAGATTAATTACTGGAGCCTCGGGCCAAGCTAACAAGCGAACTCAGCTGCACCTCAGCTGCACTCAAATCCCAAGGAAAAGATAAGGCCCACTTTGATGCCCATTTAGACCTCTCTCCTACTCTGTATGTTGTACTCCATACAGATAAGTATTTTAAGTATAGTATAATAGTACTCTGCATAGAACCCGTTCTTCCGGATATGTTAAAGATATTGATCAATCACATTAGCCTCCTCGCCAACACGAACGCCACGAAGAGCCCAAATAATAGCAATCCGGAGACCGGGGTGCGCCCCTGGATCGCACGGCTTGGGAGTTCAAGGTATATTGTACGAAAGCCATGATAGGATGACTAGGTAGCGAATTAATTAATTAAGAAAATTTTCTCGCCGAAATGGACACGAGAAAAAGAGATCAAAAAAGAGTGGGCCACATAAAGTCCCACATTCTTGAAGATGTGCATATAGATTAAATTCCCGGATTTAAGGCGCATCTCCCAGAACTTTCTTGCTTTTCGTGTTTTCTCGATGAATCACAGGAGTTGAAGGAAAAGCAGGTTTGTCCAAAGATAAACAAAAGTTCTGATCGATCTGGTTTTCGAATCCACTCAGATCGTAGCGTCGGCTCGATAGGCACTATTTCGACTTCGTGTTGAACGCCTCTTTGCCCACTCGTGAAGTTTTTTTTTTGGCACCTTATATGTGGTGGATAGGTTCTAAATCGCAACCTTGGTACTCCAAACACACTCAGTGGGGTGTGATGGATCTACCGGTTTCTGATAAGGCAAATGGACCGATGTCACCAACGGCCGCTGTCAGTTGTCAATCGCGTGGCTATGATGCATGCATGAGATACATAAAAAGACGTCGCAAAATGGAGGTTAGGTTCGCAGTGACTTCATAGTGGCTTCGGGGAGAGTTGATGTTAAGCCGCTTGTGCAAGGTTTGGTATAGATCAGTTCTGTCTCTTCAACGTTCTCTCTCTTTATCTCTCGCTTACTCTTACTGAAATTACATGATGAAAAGTCGAAATCGAAATCAAGGTAGACTTGTCATTGAAGCATAGAGAGCACCCTACTTTGTATCAACTGCACTTCCAGGATGGCTACTTCATCATCTCAACCTGACGTAGCTTCCAGTCCTTCTCCAGAATAGCCATATTCGTTTCGTCCCACCACTCGCCGTCTTTGAAATAACAATCCACTCTTGCCCCCTCTGTGTGAAACCCAATCTCCTCATACACCTTGTACGCTCGCGTATTCCAGAATGGAACACTAACCTCCACCCGATGTAGACCAGCATTATTGAATGCCCAGTTCAATACCCAGTTGACTGCCTCGGTTTCATAGTGTTGATACTCCTTTAAGGTGCCGATTCCCAGCTTGGAGCACCGATGGTGGGCCATATCTCGATGAGATGACTCCAAGAAAAGTGTACCGATAGATGTGAACATGTCGTCCTCGTCTACTTCGTTGATGATCACAAATAAATGGGAGTTCCTCTGGAGATGTCTGGCAACGCTGGAGGTGAATTTGAGGTCCATCAGCCGTGAGGCTGATGCGCAGAAGTTGATGATTGAAGATGAATACGCTTGGATAGAATTGAAGAAATGGTCATCGCTTGAGGGATTGTAACTGATAAATTTCAGGTTCTCAGAGTGGAATGAATCCCATGGGACCTCTACGCCTTGGTCACTGTCCAAATCAGTAGCCATACTTGAAGTAAGTGATGACATGATGTTGAAGTGGGCTGGGGATGTGAATGAATAATGGTAGATAGAGAGAAAGATGATGGAAAAGATACAAAAACTCACAGTTTATATAGGCAGCTATTGAATTGTTTATCCTGCAGATACAAATCCTTCTCCCAACTCTTCACATCTGCGCCATGCATGTAGTTCAAACTTCTAACATTTTTTTTCTATACCTGTCTGCCTTTCGTACCTATGCCCAGGCGTAGGTATATGTAAATATTGGTAAGCTTCTCCTGCCATTTTCGCAAAGTCTTACATCCCCGATATGCTCTCACTCAAACTTCCCTTTAACGATATTGAAAATACATATTGTCAAAATGTGGAATCAATTAGAGTTCGATATTGAAATGGCAAGGAACATACACTACTGTGGTAGGACCCAAGTGATCAACAAATTGGATATCAATGCTGTTCTGCGATTGTTCTACGGTCGTTCTAGAGAGAACCTGTGGGGAATTTCACTGCAGGTTGATGCAGGTAATCTGTCGATCGGGCTGCATGCAAGCTGTAGACAGAACTTGTACAGAATGTACACTTTCTTTTTCTAACTCAAAACTAAAGCTCTGGGTAACTCTTTTCTTCATTTACTTATTTTTACCGTAGAAACAGCACAGTGACTTCCAAGCAAAGCCAAACACCCCCATAGACAAAATAAAGAAAGCAAGAGAAGATCTACACCGCGAAGACACAGAAATTTGTGGAATGGTATGTATTCAGTATTCAATTAGATCGCCCATTCCTCTAAAAAAAAAAAAAAGATCATAGATCAATGGTATGAACAAGCACGAATCTCAATTTCCGAATCTATGCAAGGATAGCCTTGAGACCAGCCTGGATGGCAGGGGGGTTGGCACCCTTGACCTCCTGCTTGCGCTCGCCACCGTTGTAGAAGTGGAAGGTAGGCATAGCAGAGACACCGTTGGCAGCGGCAACCTCGGAGAGGTCATCAACGTCGACCTTGTAGAACTGGACGTTGGTGTGGGTCTCGCTGAGCTTCTCGAGGGTAGGGGCGATGGCCTTGCAGGGACCGCACCAGACGGCGTGGAAGTCGACGACGACGGGGCCGGTGGCATCAGTGACCTTGGTCTTGTACTCCTCGACGCTGGAGAAGGAGTGTTAGCTTGGTCTTTAATGTTTGCGAAATGACCAGGACGAATATGTAGGACATATTTCCAGGATCCAGACACAGAAGCGAAAGCGGGAGTATGGGAGTCAAGTCGGACTTACGAGGTGATAGGAGTGACACCCATTTTGAGAGAAGAAGGCGTGAAACGCGGGATAGGTGTGGAAGAAAAGGGTCGGAAAGCGGTGCGCTGGACGGAAGTCGATCGATTGAGTAGCGATGAAACTCCGGAGATGGTTCTGGGGGTAGAACGAAGGGTTGAAGGCTTGAACTGGAGTGGATATAAGTATTTCGATTGGAGGGGTAGAGTGAGGGGCGCTGGGTTTTTATAGGGCCATGACGTTCCCAGCAGAGGCGATTAGGTAAGACGCGCTGAATAATGGATCGGAGCTGACCCCGGGGGTCTGGAGGTCCGGAAGTCTCTGGAGCTTGCTGGGGGTTTGACCGGGACTTTCCAAGGGGAAGATTTCAATGTAGACTTACCATTGTGGGATTTGTCAGTACTTTTCGTTGTATTTTCCTGTACTGGTAGATATCAATGTTGGGATCCAAGAGAGGTGAAGCCGACAGGGGATGACGTGCTCCCGACCTTCGGGTCGCTTACGAATAAGATGGAGTCTGGAACTGTCAGCATTTCCCAGCCTGGGCATACTACATATGTACCTATCCACGTCAGGTTATCAAGTTGTTAGGTGAGTTTTGCTTACTAGGATCTAAAAAGAAAGGAGAGGCACTCAGTCTTTATATCTCACTTCTAAAGTTAAACTAGAAGCGACTTCAAGAGCGCTATAGACTAAATAGGCTAAATCCCTACATAGTATACTTCTCGTACTCAAAGGGCACAGCCTATCAACTGGATATGTAAGGTACAATGCAATAAGGACGATTATCCAGGTTACACAGTGAAACACAATTTACGCTGTCCAGTCTAGCATGTCTAATGGCTTTGAACTCGCTGCACGGTCACGTCAACTTCTAACTACTTTAGCCTCCTATTCTCCTATATAATCTCATGATCTATATTGCTTATATCTAAGCTAGTCAGGAAAGGAAGGTGATAGGTCCAAAGGACTTGTGAATGGCGCCACTGGTTTGATCTTCAAAGGCGGAACCTTGAAGGGTGGGCTGCCTTGCCTACGATTGGCACACATTCTCATTCTCTGGCGATCTCAGATATCCAATATGCGGGGCACAACACCCTGATAATCATCCATGTTACCAGTTCCAACTGGAGTACGGACATTGGCAAAAGTCCACTTAAAGTCCGGCGACTTAAGCCCGACTATCACCGGAAACATGTCAGTGTCCAGGTATATCAAACCGCAGCAGTTACTCCATAGATAGCATAACAACACCAAACAAATGAGAAAGCTTCACTATTTATCTAGTTACACACCATCATGACTTCTAAGCCGGTTATCCTCGTCACCGGCGCCAACCAGGGCCTTGGCCACGAAGCCCTCAAAACGCTAGCTAGAGCGAACAAATACCACCTTGTCGCCGCCGCCCGCTCACACTCAAAGGCCGACGAGGCCGTCAAAGTCATCGCATCCGAGACAGGCTCGGACCCTATAGAATTCACCCCCATAGTTATCGAGTTAGACGACGACGAGTCCATCTTCGCCGCTGCTACAATCATCAAGGACAAAATTCGGCCATCTCGACATTCTAGTGAACAACGCCGGTATTAACCGTTCTCCTAATGACAATGCCACTCTCCGCGAGAACCTCCGCGCCGTGTTCGAAACGAATGTTTTCGGTGTCGCGGTCATGAACGATACTTTCCTACCGCTGATCCGTGCCTCGACATATCCTCAACGCCGCATTGTCACTGTCACCAGCGGCCTAGGGATGTTCGGCGTCGCCCTTACGGAAAGCTCTCCATATAATATCTGGAAGTACAAAGTTCCCGTTTACCGCAGCAGCAAGTCAGCCGTCAATATGCTTGCAGCGGTCGACACTATCAGCCTCCAAAACGAAAATATCCCGACTGTTCTCGTCGAGCCGGGGTACTGCCGGACGGCGTTTGGAGGATTCCACGGCGACAAGGATGCTGATCAGGGTGGTAAGGTTATTGCGCGTGCTGCTGTTGGGGGGGATAACAAAGATTTATTTTTGAAAATTGTTGATGATGAGGGCAAGCATGCCGAGTTCGGCTGGTAATGCTTTTCGTGTACTGTTTCTTTGCCTGTAATTGTCGTCCATGTCCTCCACTTTACTGAACGATCTTAAATATATGGTCAATGCCCCCGAGAAGAACCCGTACAGCAATGGAAAGGCGATGAACCCGCCTTCGCTGTAGATCGCTATCCACGCGAAGCTGAGCACCCCGGATATCCCTGTGCACGAGGCCCAGAAGAGCATGACGCCGGTGTACGGTTGCCATTGAGAATGTCCCTTAACTCTCATATACAGTAACCTGTAGAACATGTTCCTAAGTAGGAGCAGCGAAAGATATCAAAGCTGAAGACTGTAGACCGTGACATTAGAAATACAAAAAGCCACCTCGACAGGTTGCCAGCAATGGCTGCTGGGCTTTACTGGATACATTCAATGAGAACCTCAACAATGCCATACTCATGACTAGATCTCAATGTAAGATAAACATTGCTTGATCCGCAAATTGAAATCAGTAAATCCCCAAAAGAATATGTCTTATCAATATCAGCAATGGAAGAAGAGTGGATCAAAAGGGCAAGAAGCCGCCAACTATGTGCAACGAAGAAAAGCACTCGAAGGGAATAAGGATTTATCAGCTTGGTTATGTATTCAACAACAGGAATAGAAAAGAATAGAATTTATGCATATGGTAAAGATAAAGCATGGGGCGACAAGGGGGTATCAACAGATCGAATGAGCATAACGAGCTCGCAGGGGCAATAATGGGATACAGGACGATGGGGGATATCAGAATCGTACAGATGGCCAGAGGGTAAATCCAAGGCCCACAGATGGATATTTTGACAAAGGAAAGTGACAAAAGAAAGTGACAAAGGGAAGGGTCAAAGGACGCCAGTGGCAGATTGCCTCTTAGTCATGGCGATGGTCGATGGGCCAGTGATACCCGTCTGACACGCCATGAAACAGAGATAAAGGAGGTAATGGTAAATGGTAGATCCAGTTTGACTGCTGTTAAATGGCGATGGTGATCACTAACACTCAGTCTATTCGGCATAACCAATTTCGGCTTTCGCGCTGGGTATCCGCTGTAGTTCCGGAGGAGTTGCCTCCTCCATAATGTAATCTTCCTCGGCGGAGATGGGGGTCAATGAAGGAAATCCTCTGAGCATTCCTTGTGTAGACTTGGGACGGACCACCGGGTTCACCAGAACAGGGCGGCGGCCGACTTCGTTGTGCCATCTTTCAGCGGGGTTGCTTGCCGAGCTGTCTGTGGCTTCCGATTCGAGCTCTGGCTCGCCAAGGATATTGCTGCTAGGACGGTGGGATTCATTCAGTGATTCAACTTCTTCGGGGTCATCTGCCGGGGCCTCCACCGAGTCTCGGCCAAATGAGTTCAAATTCGATCGAACAGGACTGCTGGGCTTTTGTGACATCCGACGGAAAAATTGGCCTGACATCCAAGACCCCTCAGAATCAATTGAAGCCAGAGATTGGGAAAGTGGCACGTTATCTGCCTCGGTGTCCATACTATCCGAAACCCACGACCGATGATGGCCTCGGTTCGGGTTTTTGATGTCCACTCCGGGGCTAGGTGTTGGTTCACGCAAGAAAGTCTCATCCCTCTCTCGAGAGGACTCTACAACTTCCTCCGGGATATCTGGCGACTGTAGGCGGGAATCAGGAGGCGATAGAGGTTCGTCGCCAAAGTGTTCAGTGAACTTGGATTGAGAGCGCATCACGGTGCCAGTGGGCATTAGAATTCTGGGGGGCATAATCGAGGGCGGAGGAGGTGATGATTGGGTCTGAATTTTGTAGAAAGATTCATGAGAGGCGTTGGAAACTTCGGGGGTCGTGTCGTGGAATCGCTCTTTGTACGTCCGCTTGAGACGAGAAGAACCACGCCTGAACAGGGACGAAATGGTATTCCCCCGGCGACCGCTGGTGTCGGAAAGTCGGCGTTCTGAGTCAACTCCTCTAGAGATGTCCGATGTGGAGCTGGGCCCACATATTTGTGATTGAGATGGGCTATTGAGCCCATGGCGAAGTGATGAATGAGACGGGGAAAGAGTAGTCCGGGACATGGTAATGTCATGTGAAAGGGCGAAGCTAGGACGTTGAACCAATCTCCGCTCACGAATGGAACTGTCATCAATATTTCCAAATATGCGAGAGCTTTCACGCGATTCGCGTCCAGTGTTCTCATTGCTCTTAGAAGCTCTCAGCAACCACGATTCATTCTCCGGTGCGACAACCGTTGGTTCATCAACTTGAGAAGCGGTGGTCTCTTCGTTCTCTTCGTTCGGGACAAGGTCCTCGGGTTCGGCGACTTCAGCGATGGATGGCTCTGGTTGAGCAATTTCGGGTTCAGGTTCGGGTTCAGGTTCGGGCTCGGTGGCGGCCTGGACTTTTTGTTCCTCCGCCTGCTGAGCATCAGCCCTCTCCTGCAGCTTACGCCGAAGTCTTTCCTGGTCGTCGACCTGCTTCTTCTCTCGGCGGCGACGGTCGCGATCCAGCAGTTCTCTCAAAGCCCCAGCATCTAATGAATCAGCGAGTTCATTTACTCGTCGTTTGGAATAGTAAAATTCATCGTCAGACATGGTCAGAGCCTGAAGTCTCTCTCTGTCCTGTCGGCTAGAAGCGGGTGGGTTACTGCTTCTGGCGTTCTGCAGGCGAGGGGCTTCGACGTAACGGACGACGGGGCGTGGGGTCAAGGCAGCAAAAGCGTTGACCTTGTAGGTGTATGGGTCGGAGATGTCAGACGTGGAGGATGTGGCGGAGTCACGGATGGAGAGGCTGATGTCAGACATGTACCGGTCGGCACGTCTGCCATTTGCCTTTCGACGGCGATTTTCCAGTGCATAATCTCTGCTGCCAGGAGTCGGATGGTGGGGGATATCGATGGGGGTGGAGGAGAGCATACGAATTTCACGCTCACGCATGATCTCGTTTGCCTTGCGCTTGCTCAGCCTTCGTCGTAGCTTATTCGGGACATTTGCATTTTGGCTTGGTTTCCGCCTCAGCAGCGAACCTGTTCTCGAGAGTGGAGGGTCGCGTGGCGGGGGGTTCCGTGATTGATCGGCAATGGAAGCAGGGCGGTCTAGAGATGAGATAGGTCGATTTGACGGCACAAGGGCCGAGCTGCGCCGGCTGTCTGCAGCATCCGCTCGTGACGTGCGGTTGCTTTGGCGTTTGGATGGTTTGCGGCCCAATGTGGGCTCGATCGTCTGTTCGGCAAACGAGGCGTGAAGATCAGCAGCTTCGGCACCGGTCACTTGGATGGTGTGCCGCTTGCTCTTGCGATTAAAGGGCCATATCGCCATGGCGCTCTTGGGGCACAAGCCCAGGGACAAGTGGGATCAGTTATCGGTATCAGTTCTGTGGCGCGACAGTTTGACTGAACTCATGGAGGGTGGAAAGGAGAGTTGAAGAAAGTGACTGGGAGTCAGGGTGATGACAGCGTCATCGAGAGTCTGGATAGAAAAGGAAGTTGAAAGGTTGAGAGTTGTATTAGAGGGAAAGAGGGGAAAAGAGAGAGAGAGAGAGAGAGAGAGAGAGAGAGAGAAAGAGAGGAAGGAGAAAAGAAGTGAAAACTGAAAAGGCAGAAGAGCAGAAGAGCAGAAAAAAGAAAATAGGAAAGCCCAAAGGGAAATCAGAAAAGGGCCTTGTTTTGGTTTTTGCCTGAAAAATAAGTAAAAGACTTGGCATCTGCTTTTTTATTTTATTTACTTTATATTTTATATTATACATTACATTCTATTCATATTCTATACATTCTATGTTTATTGTTTGTACAGTTGCACGGGTACCTGGTACCTTGGCCCTAAGTTGTAGAATCTCGTTAAAAAAAGTCTCTCGTCACACAGAGTCTAGATTTCTTTTGGAAATTGGCAGTTGACCTGTGGGGAAAGAAAGATATCCACTTGTGGGATCCAGAATGACGCACTGTGATAAATATATACATCCCTTTGGTATATTATTGAGGTGCCTTCTTACAATATTGGGTATAATATGACTTATAATAGATCTCATATACATCTCGGAAATGAATAATATTGGCCTTAACCCTGTACAACCAAGTCCAATGCATGTTCACCCTCGTGCCCTCTCACGCGGGAAAGCCAAGCCACCGTTTAAACGCCCGGTGGAGCCCAGGCTGAGTCTGGTAGCCTTTCGTTGGGTTGACACGCGGGAATGGAGTCGATCTTACGCACTTTTACACATTTGGGCCTATGGGTATCGTCGATTTTGAAAAGTTTCTGCACATTTCAAACTATTTGTGAGAACCTGCAGGGACTATGTGTAAATTCTAATATGTAGTAGTATTCTAGGGGGAAATATATTGTGCACATCATTAAATACGGAAATGATCGGCGAATTTCGTTTATGGGGTTGTCTTAGTTTCTTCTATAGGATTACAATTTATTACTACATACTAATTCCGATGCCTATGTTGTATTATATATTGTCTCTCGCTTTCTGCCTTGGTTCTATTCAATATCATTGATGTTCAAGGGCGTCTAGCAAATCAGTACGACGTACGGAGTACGGAATACCGTGATGCTAATTATATCCCATTGAGAATCCAGCGGGTTGCAAGGTGTCAGCGCTATTATTTGGTTTCCATTCAAGGTGGTTCAGATTAGATCTAGGGTGTTGTCTAGAGCCCCTCCTTGCCTCTATTACCCATTCTATATTCTACATTGCTATATTGTATTCCCTACCTACGGAATACTCCATACAATTCCAATCCTTATCTCCTGTGTTCCACAGATTCTCCCGAGGCCCGTACCTTTCAACCCATAACGTGGCTTTACAACATAAATACTACTCCACTTCCGGTCTCAGATTGTTCCACCATGGTTCCTGCATTTTGATCGTAACGGTAGACCCCTCAGTTTCCTATGTCTGATCTGACAGCGTTCTCTAACAGCGGAGAACGCTGTTCGGTCTTAGATGCCAAGAACAGCTCAGAGACAACGTCCAGAATCTGGTTTGGCAGGGGTTTGACAAGCCACAAAAAATCTGCAAGGAGCAGACAGCCG